ATTCAAGGAAGAAGTTGTCCCCCGACCGACCGCACCAGGTGCACGCTGTTTTGGCATGACAGTGTAAAGCTATCTCAAAGCACACGCTCACCATGCAGCCCACCGATCTGGCTCCTGACCCAGACAGTCTGCGTTGCTAAAGGGCAGCACTTGCAGCATTCCACTTGAGCAAGGAAACTGCAGAGAGTAGGCCAGGGGACACAATCCAGTACCAGCGACGGTGTGACATCAGCCACCCTGCAACACCTGCGCAGCTGTATGAAAGCGGAAGAGAGTGCGTAGGGAACTGGGCGCAGAGTAACAAAAACAGTAACGTGTAGGGCATGCAGATGATGCAGCTCGAAGCTCAGGCCTTGTGGGGGCTGGCAGCTGCTTCCACGAACTGCAAGTTGCGCACTGCATGCTGCGTGCCGCCGAGCCTCGCCACTTGGCGCGTCGAATGCTCGAATGCTTGCCTTCATGAGGACCCAGAGCCAGTGCGGATTGAAACTGCGCCGGCAACATCTGCAGATGCTCACCGGCGGGGACAGCCACGAAGATGTTTCTACAACTACAAAGTTTTCAGATAAGCTGTCAGCGCATGCGCACCAGGCAGCATGCAGGTACAGCTGCGCGTGTCTATCGGGGCTGCCACTTGAAGTAGGGTGTTCTTCTCTTGCAAGTTTTGGACTGCAACTGCGTTCATTATGGCACTACTGGGCCGCAAAATGCTCTCAGCTGAAACAGAGGCACGGAGGGAAGAGACATGCACTGCACGCAAGCCGACACTGCACCGCGCCTTCGCCGATTTACGAGTGGGTGCTTCGCTGTGAACTTTTGAGTTGGGCACAGTAATGTGTGCCCCTGAAGTATCCAGTTTTCTGGTCCCTGTCTCGAGCTATTTTGTGCAGAAACATACGCCTGCAGAAGAGGCTCTGCTGGCCGAACGGGAGCCATGAACCTGCAGGCGCGTGAGCCAGTAGCGTTTGGGTGGCTTCATCGGCACCCAAAACTTCAATGGGATGAAAACTGGTATTGCAGCACTTATGCCAAGCTCAAGGCTCAAGTAGGCACCTCCGGATTAGAACGCTGGCTCGCATAACCGTAGCAAAAGGCAGAAGAGTCAGAGGCACCGTCGCTATTGCGCGATGATGGCCCTTTCTGAGCGTTGTAGGGTGCGTTGGGGAAGAAAGCCGTCCTCCTCCCGACAGCACCAGGCGCACAGGCCTGCAAAAGCATAACCAGGCACACTTGCAAGCACACGCTGCCTGCAGCCATTGGGCAGCGCACACATCTTGCTCACTGACCGGTCAGTCTGCATTGCCGAGGGTGCAGGTTGTCGCTTGCATGTTTTCGCTGTCAAGAAACGGCAAGCTGCAGGCGCAGGTGAAAAATTCCAATATCAGTGCTGCGCTGCCACTTCTGCGCAAGTGCGCAAACACCGAACAGAACCCAGAGGAACACAAACAGCAACTTGTAGGGCGTGGGCATGCAGATGATGCAGCTCGAAGCTCAGGCTTTGTGGGGGGTGGCTGCGGTTTCCACGCACTGCCGTTTGCGCAGAGCATGCTGCGTGCCGCCGAGCCTCACCACCGTGCAGCGTCGAATGCATGCTTTCATGAGGACCCAGAGCCAGTGCGGCTTGACACTGCGCCGGTAGCATCTGCAGATGCTCACCGGCGGGGACAGCCACGAAGATGCTTCTACATAAGTTGTCAGCGCATGCGCACCGCGCAGTCTGCAGCACTTCACTGTAACAGCAATCATCAAGGCACCGTGGGGCTGCGGACTGCTCGCAGCTGAAATAAAGGCCCGGAGGCAAGAGACTTGCACTGCAAGTAAAGTGACGTTGCACCCCGCCACTGTCGATTTACAAGCGGATGCTTCGCTGTGAGCTCTTGAGTGGGGCACAAAAACTCCTACCCCTTGAAGATCGTGCTTGTCCCTGCCTCCACCTATTTGCAGAAACGTACGCCTGCAGAAGAGGCTTTGGCTGGTCACCCGGGAAATGCAGTGATCTGCATCTAGAATTCTCAACGGGATGCAAAGCGGCAACTATCGCTGCTTTTGTGCAAAGCTTATGCAGCAGGCTCGCCGCCCATCGGAAGCAAAGGCAGCAAAGTCAGAGGCACGGCTACTCTTGCCACGGCATCCATTTCTGAACGTTGCATGTTGTATTCAGGGGAGAAGTTGTCGACCGGCAGCACCAGGCACACGCTGTTTTGGCCTGAAAATCTAGAGGTGTCCTCACAAGCACACGCTGCAGGCGGCCACCATGCAGCCCACCGATCTGGCTCCTGACCCAGACAGTCTCGTTGCTAAAGGGCAGCACTTGCAGCATTCCACTTGAGCAAGGAAACTGCAGAGAGTAGGCCAGGGGACACAATCCAGTACCAGCGACGGTGTGACATCAGCCACCCTGCAACACCTGCGCAGCTGCATGAGAGCTGAAGAGAGTGCATAGGGAACTGGGCCCAAAGTAACAAAAACAGTAACTTCTATAGTGCATGCAGATGATGCAGCTCGAAGCTCAGGCCTTGTGGGGGCTGGCAGCTGTTTCCACGTACCGCAATTTGCGCACTGCATGCTGAGCCTCACCACCGTGTAGCGCCGAATGCTTGCCTTCATGAGGACCCAAAGCCAGTGCGGCTTGACACTGCACCGGTAACATCTGCAGATGCTCACCGGCGGGGACAGCCACGAAGATGTTTCTACAAAGCTTTGAACATAAGCTGTCAGCGCATGCGCACCAGGCAGCATGCAGGCACAGCTGCACGTGTCTGTCGGGACTGCCACTTGAAGTAGAGCCCGGAGACGTGGGGCAAGAAGTTTAGCTCCTCGGGCGCTTTGACCCTAAGTGGATTGGCTCGATCGAAACAGAGGCACGGAGGGAAGAGACATGCGCTGCACGCAAGCGGACACTGCACCGCGCCACCGTCGATTTACAAGCGGACATCGTGCCGTGGACTTGGGCACAGAAGCCCCTGCCCTGCGAGAATCAAGTTCCCTGGTCCCTGCCGCCACCTATGTTGCAGAAACATATCCCTGCGGAAGAGGCCTTGCTGGTCACACCGGAACTGAATCTGCATGCTTGTCAGCAGTGTTTCACGCGGAAATTCAAGCTCCTCACCGAAAGTGCAAAGTCTTTCAAGCTACTTTTGTTAACCTGCACGGGGCCCTTCTTGTCACCAGACGCGTGCACAACAACAGATAAACCCAAACCATCAAAGCACACAAGTTCACTTGGCAAGTCCACATTCGCCAAGCTCTGGTTGAAAGAAACGCCGAACCTCAAGGACTGCAAGCTGCCCGGCAGGGCCACATTCTCCATGCTCTGGTTGACCTCGCCTCCGAAGCTCAAGAACTGCAAGCTGCCAGGCCTATGACATGCTGTTCAAGAGCCACGAAGCGTAACCTCAGAATTCTCGCGAAGAGTGCGACGTCTTTGGCGGTATCTTTCGCCAATCTGTCGCGCGCTGCGACAGTCTCTGTCAAATTTCCATTGAATATTCATTGAATATACATTGGTCAAAAGCAAGGACCTCTCGCACAACCCCCAAGTAGTGTGGGCAGCAGCAAGACTAGAGCGCAGCCTGGGACAGGCGATCTGTGGGGCATTGTTCGGGCCATCGGCCCAAGAAGCATTTGTGAGTCAATCGCGTGGCTGGAGAAACTGACCGGGCACACCCCCAGTGCTTGGAGGTGCAGCTGGAGCCTTTGCGTTGCGATGCAGCATGCCAGATGAAAGGCAATATTGCGACATCCAGCACCTTGACCACTCATGCCAATGGCACTTCCCAGCACCATGCTGCCGCTTGCACTTCCCAGCACCATGCTGCCGCTTGCAAAAAGCTAGACTTGGCAATCTTCCTGGGATAAGTTCGGGAAAAGCCCCGGTTTCTACCTAGTCTGGCAGGACCTGCTAATGGCCAAGATCCTGCTCAAGAACCAAGTATGCCACAGCGTTGCCCAAACAGCAGAACAAGAAGCCAAGTCTAAAGATGATAAAGACATGTTAACCTGTGGGATTATCAAGGGAATCTAATCCCCCAACAAGGTTAAAGGTTACCTACTCGACAACGAGTACTAAGTAACTAAGCCAAGCGAAGTGTGCCTGATGAACCAAAAGTGTCGGCCACGCGAGACAAACTGGCAGGTGATCTTCATGTAGCTCCCCATCCCAGAAAATAGTGAGTGCACAAATAGAAGCAGAGATGATGGCAGCAGCTAAGAATGAAACTGTTTGGCTTTGCCTGTCACCCTTCAACCTGGATCTTGCCCTGGAATCCTCCTAGATATATTCCAGCACATACATGTCTCATATAAGCACAGTGAACGATGGCAGGGCGGGTCCCAGGCCCTTATAGGGCGTAGCACAGAAGACACACGGGGAAGATGATGGTCATGTGTGGTCCAGTGGTCCACAGCTCTAGCAGGGGTGAAGGGGGTGCCTCAGGCATTCAGGCACACATGTCTTCAGGATCATGGTTGCTGGCCTTTGGGCTTCCCGCCTACCATGCAGCTTAGAAATGGCTACAACCTGCCGTTTCTTCAAGATGTAGCCAGAACAGGAGTACCTGCAAACAACCGATGCCTGGTGGACCAAGAACTTCGGATGCAGGAGATAGACAATTTCAGGTGCATGCCACTAGTAACGCGTCGTGATATCACGTGCTTGAACTCAAGAGACCCCGGTGACACCTCCTGCGACAGATTACCCGCTCGGCCGTTTTCCTTCTGATGGCGATGCTCTCCGAGTACTGGAATCGATGGAACGCGTGGCTCCCACTTCCCCGACAGCCTTCAGCCAAACCGGCATTTTCCGTTTTGGCTGCTTTTGAGTCGCGGCCAACCTTGGGGACAAAATGAAAACTTGGGGGGGGGGGGGGGGCATATACCCGATACGACTAGAATCCCGATTCAGGTACATGGACCATAAACCCTTTCAAGGTTCATGCGGTCCACAAGGAGCCCTAGGCAAGATGCGCAAACATATCCTCGTTCAGGAGGGCGGTTGCGCTTCATCTCTGCAAGCCGAGTGCTGCTCGCCACGTGCTTGGCAAAATCTGCCTGGTGGCGCGATGGTCGCGAGGAAGAATCTAGGGTTTAGGGTTTAGGGTTTTTGCTTAGTGGCCAAGCAAGGCCCGAAAGAGGCTTCGTAAGAAGTATCAGGTTATGCCGAGGCAAGTATGACCACATGCGTTCCTGTTGGTAATTACTGGTGATGAATGTTGTGCCTATCGTTGGTGTTGAACTGAATTGTCAGTGGTGTGGCATGTACTTATCTATGTCATGCACCAGAAGGTGTACGTCATTCAGGACCGGGGAACTGGCAAAAGAAGCCTCTTGAGGACCAGACAAGACCGGAACTATCCAGAGCCCCCCACCCCCCCCCTCGCCTCCTTTAGCAAAAAGGTCACCAAGCTGTTTTCATTCAATGCAGGCTATGACGAACCAGGTGTTTGAGGGAAACTGCCGAAAAGGAGTTGGGGATTCTTGAAAAAGGTGATGCCCCTAAACCCTAAACCCTAAACCCTAAACCCTAAACCCTAAACCCTAAACCCTAAACCCTAAACCCTAAACCCTAAACCCCCCCTTCGCCTGCCGAACCAGAGCAGCGGCAGCAAGGGCCACAGCCGCAGCCATGCGATTGAGCTCCGCTCACAGGGCACGAGCCGCCCATCCCTGCTTGGAGGCTCAGGGTACTTTAAACCCCAATTACAACTGTACTCATAAACCTCCTTTTTTTTGCAACCAGGTCTCTGCAGCCAGCCGGGTGCTAAGGACCTCCCTTGCAGCAGCACAAGCCTCCTAAGTCCTCGAAGTAGGTTATAAGTAGACTTATAGTAGGGGTTATAAGCACCCATGAACCTCCAAGTAGGCTTTACACGTGTACTCGGGGCCCTGTGGGGTTTTGTTTTTTTCTGGATGGTTTGTTGCCACCCATCTAGCCAAGCACTACGGGGTTGCAGCTTAGGAGGAAAGTTGCTCTCTGTGGACGGTTTTGAGGGGGTTTAGGGTTTAGGGGCTACTAGGGGCTACATTAAGGGGTGTAAGAAGGAACCCCCTCCTTGAAGGGACCCTTAATCTTCTTCTCCCTTAAAACCCCTTTTTGTTACCTTCTATAGCCCCCTAAAACACCTACGTCGCCCTCTGAGCTTAGGCAAGCGTGTTCCACCCTGAACCACAAGAAGCCCGAAGATGCGGCTTCACAAAAGCGCGAAACCCCCCGTGTTCTCCCCTCCCAGCCCTTGTCTTAACCCAAAGCCTACTTGTTTGCCATGGTCTGCTTGGGAGAAGCTGCCAGGAATCGTAACAGCAACCCAAAAAGTATGGCTTGGGGTACTTGAGGTAGCCCTAAACCCTAAACCCTAAACCCCAAGCAGACCAGCCACACTACAGGGTTTGGGGTTCAGAGACCCGGGCGGTGCTTTACACCTGAGAAAGGGAGACGGAATTTGGAAAAAAATCACCCATTTGGGTTGGGATGTCCCCCCTTATACTAGCAGTCCTTAATCGGGATCATAGTATACGCCGTATTCGAATCCCTATTAAGGAGCTGTTAGAAAAAGGGTGAGCATCTAAACCCTAAACCCCAAACCCTAAACCCTAAAGCCCAACATTTGGGTTTGTTCAAGCTCCCCATGTGGCCAAGATGCTTGCGACTCATTCGAACATTCCTCCAGAGTTAGGGTTTAGGGTTTAGGGTTTAGGGTTTAGGGTTTAGGGTTTAGGGTTTAGGGTTTAGGGTTTAGGGTTTAGGGTTTAGGGTTTAGGGTTTAGGGTTTAGGGTTTAGGGTTCAGAGATACACCCTCAGCCCCTTCAACCTCCCTATACCCCCCTTAGAACCTTGGTAAACATAATGCTTTTTGATGTCCTCTGTGGTTTTATATAAACAAAATAACAAAATAGTCCCAAGGGGGATATAGCTCCAGGGTTAGGGTTTAGGGTTTAGGGTACAAGCTTGGCCCGCTGTCCTCTATATATACCATCCGACATCTACTCCGAAGTCGGACCCTCTTCATCCCAGAGAATGCCCAACAAAATTTAAAACAGACAATACCCCAAGGGCCTCCCTAGAAAAGGCGCTGCTTCCATAACAAGGCGCCGCAAGACTCGGGAAATCTCGGCGAGTTGATCGCCTCCCCGTAGCTGCTCCAAAAGAGGCTTCAGCGCCTCCCGCTTGAGGTCGTGGGGCTTCGAGGGTTTGCAGGGTTTAGGTTTCGACTTAAACAGGGTTTAGGGTTTAGGGTTTAGGGTTTAGGGTTTAGGGTTTAGGGTTTAGGGTTTAGTGGGCTCACAGACGCCTAGCTTCCCATGGAAAAACACGCAAGGCTCGGCCCACATCCCCAACATCCGACACTTCGAAGGCCCCCGCAGGAACTACTAACTGCTTAAGAACCCCGAAAAATAGCAAATGTTCTTCCTTATTAAGGGTAATATAGGGATTGTTTTTTTTTTTTTAAATCCTTTTGAGGTTTTAAGCAAAAGTAGAGGAGGCGGTAGGCTTTGAGACTTTGAGCCTCACTGCACTGCAGAGCCTTGCAATCCCTGGTCCCCAAGCCTAATTAAGCTCCGAATACCCTCAACCTTTCAAACAAACCCTGAACCCTAATCCGCGAACCTTCTATACCTTTTTGAAACCCCCCCAACCTTCAACCTTCAATAGGGGTTTTTGGCACCCGACTAGCCGTTCAATAGGGGTTAGGGTGTATAGGGCTTAGGGTTCCGCAGCTCCCGGTCGAGCAATCTCTCGTAGAGCCGCTGTTGCGACTCTAGAAAACAAAACACCCACCCAGCGAATCCCAAAACGTTAAGAAATATGAAGTGCACATTTTTCATCAGCAAGCCCTGTCCCTCAACCTCACTCTGTCATGGAGCGGTCCCCTGCACTCTGTCACGGAGCGGTCCAGGAGCCCAATGCCCAAAAAGAGGCACGGTCACCGGGGAACTTTCAGTCGCAGGAGCAACAAAGTGGCGGGTGACATCCTCGTGCAACCTCATGCTTTTTTGTTTTCGGACACGAACAACCAAAGAAAAAAGCACTTAATTCTGTTAACCTCATGTTCCTTGTTTTCTCCCACCCCGCCCTCGTCCCGGTCACGCTCCGCATCAAAGTGGCGTGTGGCATCCTCGTACAATCGCATGAGAGATGTAAAAGGACCAACAGGCCCGAAACGCTCTAAAGGGGGGGGGGGGTGTGGGGTGTCGAAACCCTCATCTGGCCCAGACTTAGGGTTTCGAGCCCAGAATGGGAGTCTGGGCCAGAAGAGGCCCTTTCTTGGCCAAAAAACGCGTGGCCATTGCCACAAACCCGTGGCCATTGGGCCATTGGCAACAAAAACCGTGGCCATTAGCTGTGGCCATTAGCAAAACACCCGTGGGCATTGGGCAAAACCGGCAAAAGCGCCATCGGCAATGGCCACGGCTTTGCCAATGGCCACAGCCCCCGTTATGGTTGGGGGAAGACTTGGTGCGATGTGGAACGAAAAACCCTTTTTGACCACCAACCTTACTGGGGGGCCGTGGCTATTGGCAAAAAAGCCGTGGCCATGGGCCGCGGCCCCCATTAAGGTTTAACTGAATAAATACATAAATAAATATATATATATATATGTATATAAAATAATACATATATATATATACACATACATACAGAAATATACATGTAAATATCAATATCAATATAGTTATACTTTTTAAATATAGACATAAATATACATGTAAATTTCAAATACAAATAAATAAACAAAAAACAAATTTAAATACAACTAAAAACAAATACACGAATAAATAAATAAATAACAAATAAATAAATAAATCAATAAATAAAGAGAGAGAGAGAGAGAGAAAGATACATATATATATATATATATATATATCTGTGTGTGTGAGTGTGCATGAAAGAGAGGGCAGAGAGGGTTTAGGGTCGGAGGACCCGGAGCCCTAAACTCGACACCCTACACTTTGCCTCGGGATCCATGGCTCCCAAGGCCGTCTCGACCTCAGAGAGAGTCGTTCTTGAATGACTTTGCAGATGGGAACCAAGAGAAGACTCCGACATGGGGGGGGGGGGGGGGGGGGGGGGATCTCCTGGAGACTTCCTCGCCCCAAACCCTACTTTGAGGTTCATGGTACTTATGAACCAATTATGAAAGTAGGGGTTGAGGGTTGAAGGTCCAGTAGTTTTTTTTTGAGGAAGAGCAACTAGCCAGAAACAGTAGCACGTCTGTTTTGTCGGAGTGTTTATAGAGGGCCCAGGACTTGCAAACAACAGCCAAGCCAATCAGCCCTAAACCCCAAACCCCAAACCCCAAACCCTAAACCCTAAATCCCTAAACCGGCTCCCATGGCGTCAGCCCTCCCCCGCCCTTAAGCGCTGGGGGCCCCCGCACGCTGCAGCATCCAGATCCTGGCAGCTGACAACCCTTTTAAACCATGAAGGGTTTAGGGTTTAAGGTTTAGGGTTTGGGGTTTGGGGTTTAGGACTTACGGTTTAGGGTAGGGGTACCTCATTGGGGTCTTTTTTATAAGGAGATCCTACTGTTTGGATATTGGGGGTCCCCTATTTTCGCAAACCCTCAGGTATCAGGGCTATATGCACGACTAAGCCTGAGTCTGAGCCATGGCACCGCAATGAGGGTTTGAGGGCATCGTAAAGGTGCAAGCCCCTCTTGCCAACGATGGCCAACCAAGCGAAGGAACTGCGCCAACTTGCTTGCAACGTGGGAGTCACGAGACCTGCTACGGCAAGGCTTAGGTACCCTACACTACTGGAATTCCCATGTTCAGGTTTCTGACCACAAACCCCAAACCCTTTCAAAAGGTCCCTGGGGGGATCATCTGGTCCCCAAGTTACCGTCTGTGTTGGTGTCACGGCTTTGACGCCTCTCTTGCCGGAGCTCTAATTAGGGGCCCTTATTCCCATGATATACTCTGTAGAACCCTTAGATGTACCTGATGCAGTCCACCACAGTAGCTCCCGAAGCCTAAAACCTATGACCCCCACTTTTAGGGCTCCTTTGCTCCCCCCTAGGTAGGCTTAAGGCACCCCAAACCCTAAACCCTAAACCCTAAACCCTAGACCCCGAACCCGAAACCCGAAATCCGAAATCCGAAACCCTACCCTAAACCCGAAACCCTAAACTCTAAACCCCAAACCCTAAACCAAGGGTCTGGTGTGGTACCACGAAGCGCCGGCCCTCCACTTTACCGCCGCGGGAGCCATTTCCTAGGTGGCCCGATCGCGACGGGCACCATGAGTTTGGGGTTTAGGGTTTAGGGTTTAGGGTTTAAGGTTTGGGGTTTCGGGTTTAGGGAAACCCGAAACCCCTACACCCTAGGCTGAAACACACATATGTACATGGTGCATATGTACAGGGTGTCCCTGACCCATGCTTGAGCCTTCGGCATGATACCCCCCCCCTTCCACGAACAGTCCTGAAGAGGGATTCTCGTACCCCCTACACTATAATCCCTTTATTGGTTAGTATAAGATAATCAGGGAGTAGCGTACCCCCCTACGATGGTCATTATTCAGGAGCTGGTAGTATAAGGGGGAACAACCCAACCTAAGTTCCCTAAACCCTAAACCCTAAACCCTTTTAAGCACGGACTGAGGCTGCCGGCAACACCTGAAAGCAGGGCCTTCTTGCCTTTAGCAAGGGTCGCATGAACAGGCGAAACTGAGGGTGTCTATCACTGGGACGTATACACTATGGGAGTACTGAGTTTGCGTAAAAGTGAAGTCTGTGAATCCCTAAACCCTAAACCCTAAACCCTAAACCCTAAACCCTAAACCCCCAAATCCCTCAGGCCCCTCAAGTCGGCCGCGTCGCGGTCGAAGGGCAGCGAGAAGCGGTGCGTCAGGGGACCAAAGCCCTCCTGGTCTGCGCATCCGGCGTTGAAGGACCTCGGGGCTCATAAAAGGGTGACTCTCATATCATAGGGTTTAGGGTTTGGGGTTTAGGGTTTAGGGTTTAGGGTTTCGGCTTCAGGGTTTGGGGTTTGGGGGTTTGGGGGTTTGGGGTTTAGGGCTTGGTAGGGGGTGTTTGGGTTTACTTTAGGACCTTCGAATTCGGGGTGTTTGGGGTGTTTGGGGGACTGAAGGGGCTTCAGGGAGTTCGACAGGCATCAGGCGTTGAAAACATGGGTTCGGGTCGGGTTGGCTTATCATGGCTTCGGCTTCGGGGTTGCATCTTGCTTAGGAGCCGCATCGTTCAGGGCGCTTTTTTTCTCGGAGGCTGATCCCCACCTTGGCTGTTTGGGATGCTTCTGCTGCGTTTTTGTTTGCTGGGAAACTCCTATTGGCTGGTCCATGGGTAAATAAAAGCAGGGTTATAAGTATGGTATCTGTACTGCAAACCCCCTAATTATGTGGTACCTATGGCTGACCGCTGCATACCGCTGCCGGCACACTTGTCAGGAAGCGTCGTGCTCAGAAGCAGGCACCAGGGAGACCGCAAGTACTCTCCTCGTCAACAAATCAAGCTGAGGCTCATTGGGAAGGAATGAGGTATGCTACATAATCCCTTAAAGGGTACGATTTCGAAGAGAACCCCAAAACCTCAACCACCCACCTTAACAGCACAGCTTGTGTCGGGGAAACAGATGATGCAACTGAGCAGCGCAATGTATCACATGAGCTCTGCAAGACAGGCCACATCTCATCCAAAAACACCTGAAGTTGGGGGGGGGGGGGCTATGAAACATTTTTTTTGGGATTATAATCACAGGGCTGTATTAGGTCCCCTCTGGTTCTGAGTAAGGAATAAGGGAATTGGGCCCTTTATATACACTTCGAGGGATCATATTAGGGTACCTCATACCTCATTCCCTCCAGCCAAACGACTTGTCCTGCTCTCAACTCCAGGAGAGTTCTCCCAAGGGGCCTGAAGCAGCTCGATGCATCCAGCTGGCACTTCGTCATTCGCAAGCCACTCTTCGGGCTCCTGTCCTTGTCTGTACAGTTGAAACTTGGAACCCCCATTTGGGTGGTTGTCAAAATTATGGTCCCTTTTTGGATCCCCATTATCATACGGCACCTAATATTTAGGGTACCCAAAAAGGGACCATAATTTTGACAGCCAAATCAACTCTACCTTCTTGTACATCCTTCAGGACGCGTGATCTAGGCCTGGAAGGACTCCCCCCCCCCCCCCCCCCGCCGCCAGAACCGGTTGCATCCCTACCGCACGAAATAACAGTGCCCGAGCTGCTCTTGACGAAGGTCGACAGTGTACCACCCAAGTCATGCAGTCGTTCACACCAGTCTGTGACCAAGGGGAACTCCTCCCGCATCATCTTGCCTTCAACAAGCAGCAGGCTTCTGGCTCGCACTTGGGGGTCAGGGCTTTTGCTGGAGGTACTGTAGGATCTGGGTTTAGGGAATGATCCCAGCCCACGCGGTAAATTTCTTTTGAGTCTCTGTTTGGGGCCGGGTCCCGCGACCTTCCTCATGACACTCCGAATGGTAGGGGTACCTTATTGGGGTCCTTCTTATCAGGAAACCCTACTGTTTGGGAGGAGTAAATTCGGGGGTCCCCTATATTCGTAAAGTCCACAATTCCGGGCTTGGAGCTCCTAGGCCGCCGCCCTAGACCCTAGACCCTAGACCCTAGACCCTAGACCCTAGACCCTAGACCCTAGACCCTAAACCCCAAACCCTAAACCCTAAACCCTAAACCCTAAACCCTTTTACAACAGGCCTCGGTTCACAGCAGCCCGGTTCCAGCATCACGCTCACTACTGCAGACCCTAAACCCTAAACCCTAAACCCTAAACCCTAAACCCTAAACCCTAAACCCTAAACCCTAAACCCTAAACCCTAAACCCTAAACCCTAAACCCTAAACCCTAACCCTCCGCCTGGAACTGGGTCCTGATACAAGTGGGCGTAGAGAGGCCCCAGCAGCGCATAGTCCGCAGTGCTCGGCTTGCCCCCCAGCACGAAGGAATGCTGCGCAAGATGCCGGTCCTTAATGTAGGGTTTAGGGTTTAGGGTTTAGGGTTTAGGGTTTAAGGTTTAGGGTTTAGGGTTTAGGGTTTGGGGTTTGGGGTTTAGGGGTTAGGGTTTATTTAGGGTTTAGGGTTTAGGGTTCAGGGTTAGGTTTTCGAGGAGCGCTCTCACTAGTAAGGTTCTTGAGGGACGGGGGGTTCAAGGGAAATATGTGTAACCCAAGCTTCCCTAATACTCCCTACTTCTCCCGAATGCTCCCTACGCTTCCCTATACAAGGTTTCCTAGACACCCCCAGACCCTAAACCCCAAACCCCAAACCCTAAACCCCAAACCCTAAACCCTAAACCCAAACCCTCGACCCGAAAAACCTAAACCCTAGAAAGTCTAGGGGTTGGTCGCACAGGAGCCAGAATGCCCAGGACGTTTTTGCAGGAAGCCTCCCAGGCAGCAACGGTCTCCTGCTCTCAAGGGCAGGGTTCAGGGTTGAGGGTTTAGGGTTGAGGGTTTAGGGTTGAGGGTTGAGGGTTTAGGGTTTAGGGTTTAGGGTTTAGGGATTAGGGGTTAGGGGTTTAGGTGTTAGGGTTTAGGGCTTAAGGTTGTCCACTTGGGCGGTTTTGGGCTGTCGCGGTGTTGTCCGCTTGGTCCGCTTGGGCGGTTTTGGGCTGTGACGGTGTTGTCCGCTTGGTCCGCTTGGGCGGTTTTGGGCTGTCACGGTGTTGTCCGCTTGGTCCGCTTGGGCGGTTTTGGGCTGTCACGGTGTTGTCCGCTTGGTCCGCTTGGTCCGCTTGGGCGGTTTTGGGCTGTCACGGTGTTGTCCGCTTGGTCCGCTTGGGCGGTTTTGGGCTGTCACAGTGTTGTCCGCTTGGTCTGCTTGGGCGGCTTTGCATGGGCTGTCACGGTGTTGTCCGCTTGGTCCGCTTGAGCGGTTTTGGACCGTCACGGTATTGTCCGCTTGGTCCGCATGCTTGGGCGGTTTTGGGCTGTCACGGTGTTGTCCGCGTGGTCCGCATGGTCTGCTTGTGCGGTTTGGGGCTGTCACGGTGTTGTCCGCTTGGTCCGCTTGGGCGCTTTTGGGCCGTCACGGTGTTGTCCGCTTGGTCCGCTTGGGCGCTTTTGGGCTGTCACGGTGCTGTCCGTGTGGTCCGCTTGGGCGGTTTTGGGCTGTCACGGTGTTGTCTGCTTGGTCCGCTTTGGCGATTTTGGGCTGTCACGGTGTTGTTCGCTTGGTCCGCTTGGGCGGTTTTGGGCTGTCACGGTGTTGTCCGCTTGGTCCGCTTGGGTTTGGGGCTGTCACGTTGTCCGTTTTGTCCGCTTGGGCGGTTTTGGGGCTCAGGGGTTGAGAGGTTTGACGACCTACCAACAGGTTGCAAGCGCTTTCGTGTTTGATTGGATATCGGAAAACAGAAGGAACCCCAACATGCGAAAAGAACTAAGGGCATTCCTGGGCATCTTACTGCAACCTTAATCAACGGGGAAAATCCCCCCTTCGCCGCCAATCCCAGTTCTTGGGCCACTCCTTCGTGACGCCCAGCTGTCGCATCCCCTTCTTGATGCCAACCTCCTGAGGCGGATATTGGGGACCCCCGTCAAAGTAAAGATTCTATGGGCGACATGGGCTTAAAGGGGGGTACTATATCCCGATCAGGGACTGTTAGTATAAGGGGGAACATCCCAAGATTAAACCCCAAATAACAAACCCAAAACCCACAGGGATTCTCGGGCCAGCGGAACTTTCAAGATATCCAGGTTTGCAAACCAACCCACACTTGGCTGGGCTCCTTTGCTCCGGAAACTTAAGCGAGAATACCACCATAGCCACGCATAGTAACCCCACAAACCCCAAATGTTCAGAAACCCTAAACCCTCTCTCTCTCTCTCTCTCACCTAAACCCTAAACCCTAACCCTAAACCCTAAACCCCAAACCCTAAACCCTCTACCCTGAAACCCTAACATCTAAACCCGAAACTCTTTATTTTGAGCCCAGAACCCGAAACCCTAAAAGCCCTCCAGTTCCTGAGCCACAACCCAGTCTCCGTGAGGCCCTAAACCACAGACCAAAAACCCTAAACCCCTAAACCCTAAACCCTAAACCCATAAACCCATAAACCCCTAAACCCTAAACCCGAAAACTCTTTTTGAAATCGCAACCCAGGCTCCGTGAGGCCCCAAACCCCAAAAAAAACCTAAACCCTAAATCCTAAACCCTAAACCCCAAACCCCAAACCCCAAACCCTAAACCTTCAAGTTCCTGAACCCAGTCTCCGTGAGGAACATCTTGTCGAAAAGGAATCGCGCGACTCGTCGCTGCTCTTCGACGGTGCCCTCGGGCCGAAGGAAAGCTCCCCACTGCTCCTCTGGTGCTCTGAGGGGGGGATTAGGGTTTAGGGTTTGGGGTTTCGGGTTTGGGGTTTAGGGTTTGGGGTTGAAGGATTATAGGGTTGACCAGACCTAGCAGGAAAGTCCGACGCGAAAAAAACAAAAAATCTGTCCTCGTTGTGGCGCCGGTGGTTTGGAAGTGGCCTCACTCCATTCCCTCCTTCTGCCCCAAATCCTGTTAAAAACATGTAGGGTTTCGGGCATTCTTAGGCTAGGGTGGCGGAATTCTCGACACCACGGGTTACAAGTGCAGGCTCAAGGTGCTCAAAGATTGGGGGGTGTTTTACAAAAAGAACCGCCCCCCCCAGTTCAACGCCTTGGGATGTTCCCCCTACTAAGAGTCCTTAATGGGGATTCTAGTCCCCGATTACAATCCCTACCAAGGAGCTGCTAGTATAACGGGGAACAAAGCTTAGTCCCTAAACCCTAAACCCTAAACCCTAAACCCTAAACCCTAAACCCTAAACCCTAAACCCTAAACCCTAGACCCCAAACCCCAAACCCTAAACCCTAAAACCCTGAAACCTATAAACCCAAAAACATGTTGCGCCCGCCTCGCACCGCCCATGAAGGCTGGCATGGCCTGGCTCCTCGAGAAACCCTAAACCCTAAACCCTAAACCCTAAACCCTAAACCCTAAACCCTTAGAAACCCTAAACCCTAAACCCTAAACCCTAAACCCTTAACCCTTAGAAACCCTAAACCCTTAGAAACCCTAAACCCTTAGAAACCCTAAACCCTAAACCCTAAACCCTAAACCCTAAACCCTAAACCCTAGACCCTAAACCCTAAACCCTAAACCCTAAACTCGCAAGGCTCCTCGAGCCATCGCCCGAGTAGGCCCAGCGCCAGTGGAAAGCGGCAACCAAAAGCCACTCGTCACCCAGCAGCTCCATGATCCTCGCTTTGCTTTTTTTTGCGCTTTTTTTGGGGGGGTTTAGTGTTTAGGGTTTAGGGTTTAGGGTTTAGGGTTTAGGGTGGGGGGGGGGGGGGGGTCGGAAGTCCGAACCGAACTCTAAACCCTAACCCTGAGCCCTAAACCCTTTTGGCATCAGGACTTGTGCAATCGCCTGAAGGTTTGAGCACACGGACACTCATTGCTGGTGACTGCACCTCTACGACTTGCTCAAACCCTAAACGCTAAACCCTTGTCTGGGGTTCTGCGCTCGGGATTGGAAACGCGAGGCTTAAACAGAGGAAGTGTCTGATGATGCCTAAGACGGTCACTCCCAGCGAGCCACAATACTGACAAACTGGGTTCACGCCCGTCCTTGGGCCAAGAACCTTTGTGTTTCCTAAGTGGGCTATCGAGTTGCTAAACCTCCGAGAAACGAAGCCATCTTCGCCCTTCAAACTGGAAACTTGGGATGTTCCCCCAATACACTAACAGTCCTCAATAGGCACCCCCCCCCCCCCCCCCCACATTTTATCCCTATTATACGGCTGTTAGTATAAAGGGAAACATCCCAACACGAAACCCGAAACCCGAAACCCGAAACCCGAAACCGGAAACCCTAAACCCTAAACCCCAAGCCATCTTCGCAGTGCAGGCGCAGGCAGGCCAAGCGTTGCCGCGGCATCTCCATCGGTGGCATCACGGGCGCGCCAGGCCACTGTGCCTCAACAGCCTCACAAAATCTGAAAAAAACAAGGGTTTAGGGTTTAGGGTTTAGGGTTTGGGGTTTGGGGTTTGGGGTTTAGGGTTTAGGGTTTGGGCTTTCGGGTTTCAGCCTCGGAAGTATTGGGGCTCACTGACCTTCTTGAGGGGCTATACATATATGACCGTCCCTTCTGCTCTGCCGATGACTGATTTCATATATAAATATAAACAATAAATAAACAAATAAATAAATAAATAAAACATATATATATATATATATCTATATTTCTACACATATGTATGTGTAAATTCATTGGCTTTTATATGCGACTTATTGACGCAATACCTCTTAAAGCCCTGTACTTTAAGTGGGCTATTAAAACGAATATTTTTTGAATTTGGTTCTTTCGGATTTAGGGTTCGTTGTTGAAGGTTGGTGTCGATTTGAAGTGCCAGTGTCGTGTGCAAACATAGGCAAAAACCTACAGAACACCAACAAATATCGAGAAGGCATGAGACTTTGTAGATTGCACGAAGCGTGAACAACAACAAACAGCGAAAGAACAAGCGCATGCGAACATCCACGCATAAACCCTAAACCCTGACCCTATCTTTGATTGTCTGAACCGCACAAATGTGGTCATCGAGAACACTACTGATCTGGGAGACCTGCACACAAGAAATGGAGAGGGAGGGAGGGAGAGAGAGAGAGCGAGAGAGGGGCGCGTGGACAGTTTCGCCTAACAGAATGTCACAAAAAAATGCCCGAAACCTGACCCGTCGACCAGTCAGCCTCTAGTTTGGGTTCTTATGGGGCTTTCGGACTTGCCGGACTGAGGTTCCAGCCTCGAAGATGCTCTTGGTGTCCTGGATGATCTCCCCTCCTGTACATCATGTCACACGTTGCCGTGTCAGCACCATCATGAGCAACAGTCATTACGGGTATGCGTACCCCTACATTTACTGCTCTTGGTTTGCTTCGACTCTTCATATGTCCCTATGGCTTCATCCCCAAGGTCGCATGAGCCTGGCATTCGGACCTGCGGCACAGCAGATGAGCCGGTGGCAGGCAAGAGCACATCACGGACAACAGCCGGCGACGTCGTCACCTGGCGAAGTGCTCAGTGCCTTCCACTTCCTGGTGGGGTCCATGGGCCACCAAGCAGGCCCAACCCCGAAACCTAAACCCTAAACCCTAAACCCATAAACCCTAAACCCTAAACCCCCAAATTCAACTTCTTCCGCCTGCTTCGACCTCTTGTGCAATCGACGCGCAACAAAACCTCGAAACGAGCATGGGCCTCGGAAATCAGGAAACAGGACTACTCTTGCAGGTTCATGGTACTTTGTCTAACTGTGCCTAAAACTGTGCTTATAACCATATGTTGGCACTTAAGGAGCTTATGAGTGGGTTATAAGTACAGTCACAACTGCTTCACAAGTACCATGAACCTCCAAGTACCCGCGCAGCGTAATGTGCCACACGTGGGGCCTCCTCAAAGCTGAAGTTCGGGACTGCGCGAGCCTTGTACCTGCCGATCTTTTGTTTCGCAGGTTTATTTTTTTTTTTTTTGCGTGCACGGTCTTTGTTGAATGCAATTGCAAAACTCCCACCTCAGGTAGCCACGCACTTTGCCAGAGAAATACGAAAGCCTCGGGGCAGCATCAGGCAAAGTCGCAGAAAAGCCCAGACCTCTACTGTGAAGTGGAACACGGGCTGGCCAAGCTGCTTCCACCCAAACATCAGAAGCCCTGGTGGAAGATGATGGTTGCCAGCTCCCTGCGTGTGCAGAAGTTGTGAACCAATGCAAATATCACATGTGCATATGTATGTATGTCTGTATATATTTTTCTTTCTTTTTGTATGGTCCATTTTTGGTGTAATGACAGAATCAGAAGGTATAGTCCAGTCTGTAGGGTAGCCTTCGTGACGTTCACTCCGCTCACTCCCAGAAGCCAGGACAACACCTGAGCCGTGCATACTATGGTTTAGGGTTAAGGGTTTAGGTTTTATAGGGTTTAAGGTTTAGGGTCCGAAGAATTAGAATCAGGTTTTTTGGGGGCTTAATAGAGCATAACCATAAAGGGACCGTAAGGAAATACTAGTTGTAATTCTTCCGACCCCTATGTTACCCTTGGCCTATGGTTCGGGGATTTGAACTTTAAGGTGAAGAAAGGGTTAAACGGGATGCAGGGTTTAGGGGCTTGAGGTTGTTATCTGGAGGCGCGGAAGATTCTTGCAACTAAGTCGGGAACTAAACGGGCATCGCCATCTCCTGCAGCAGGCGGATAGCACAAGTGCCAAAAATACTTACAAAAACTTAAACCCTAAACCCTAAACCCTAACTCCTAAACCCTAAACCCTAAACCTAAACCTAAACCCCAAAGAGATCTTGGCAAAGTTGACGTTATGGCATCAGTCCAAGGATCCCCGAAGGTATGAGCGGAACCAAGCCATCAGCACCGTCGGCAGGTGGGCAAGCATCACCTATACTCCCCTTAAAAACCCTAATAAAAATATAATATGTTTATATAATCCTCTTGGGTTTAAGGTTTTGGGTTTAGGGTTTTACATGAACAACAACAAAAATTCCCAAAGGGGGATAGAGTCACCGCGCCGCAGATGGCGCGATTGAGCAGCGCAGTGACAGGAATCAGCGCGGAGGGCGGCTGATGTCTGGATCCAAGAGGCGCCATCGGATCGGACTGCCCGGCGAGTGCCTTGGGGGCGAAGTTTCAATGAACCTCAAAAAGGGGTTTATGGTCCAGAAATACCTTAGAACAGGGGCCCCCCCAATTTTAGTATTTTATAGTCCATATATCTTAATCGGGATTATAGTAGTTTGGGGGATATGCCCCCCCCCCCCCCTCCCCCTCCAATTTTAGGGTCACAATAGTATAGGGTATATGCCCCCCCCCAATTTTAGTACGGTTCACTTCGTCACCAAGGCTGCGGCCTGGCGAAATGGGCTGCCGCGCGTTCGGCGGCACAATCGGCAGCTGAGCCAGCAGAAAGGAGTGAGAAAACATGAAGGAGTGAGAAAACATGATTTGTGGTGAGGTTTGCCGTCTGGGCGAGGAGTTTTTCTTGTCGTTCTTTAAAGGCGTTTGGTTTCTTTCGCTGTTTCCTTGCCTCCCATTCTTAGGCATACCAGATAACACGCCCGATAAGCCCTATAGGCTCGATAAACCTTCTATTATAATTTTCCAGAGCGCATCGCTGAGCACGCCATACAGGGCGGAAACGTGCCGGCGTGAGGTGGTCAGCTTGCTCCCCGCCCTCCGCTTACAAGACCTCGCTCGGTCCCCGGCTTGTCCGTCCAAACGTAGTTTTTTTTCTTCTCTTCGCTGCCGTAAACTGTCAAGCGAACGGCAGCAAAGAGGCAAGCTGAAGCCGCGAGTGCAATGTTTGTTTGAGCAGGATTGCAATGCTTTTGGATTAGAGTGCGTGGCGTCTTCGCTGCAGGATGCAGGCCGTGAAGCTTGGGATGAGGTTGTGTCAGAAACGTTGGACAATGCCGACGCAGAAGCACATCAAAATTTTCGTCCGCGTCAAGGTCGTCAAAATTATTATTCTTATTATTTTTTTCTCGCACCATTTTCCGCCCGCAGCGTCGATGCCGTCGTCGGGTCGGGGGGGGGGTGAGAGTGAAAGGCCCGCTCACCTCAACCCCAAACTACTGGGCGGGGCCTCCGGGGCCTGCGCCAAGATGTCCGCCAAGTGGACGGGTGGGGAGGGCAGGCATCGTCCACCTTCCCAGAACGGCGCTGCAGACGGCGCGCTGCACGGCCACTGCAAGGACGCCCCTCCACCGGCTCGCCCAGCGCAGCCGGACGAACCGCCGCAGGAGGGACTCGCAATCCGCGCTCCACCTCCCTCCGACCTCAGTCGCGAGGACGCACAAGCGCTGGGCCCCGCCTCGGTTGAGCTCGCGGCTCGCGGTAGCGGGCTTGTTTGCGCCGCCGAGCTGCCGCCAGGGCGACGCCATCGCGCTCCGGCGCCCCGCTAATCGGGCTGCCGTCTCGCCGCAGGGGCGAAACCAAGGTGGCGTCGCAGCACAAAGCCTCGCCCCTTGGGGACGCGCCGTAGATGACGAGGTCAAGCCTTCGGCGGTCGTCCGCTGCAACCCCCGGCGCCGTGGTGTTGGCGAGCCACTGTTGGGGGACGACGCGTCCCTCGGGGCCGACGGCTTCCCGTGCTACCTGGACCCACGCCCGCTCGAGTACGAAGCCTCGGCGAGCAAGCAGGCAGGTGCGAGGGCAGGCCGTGAAGTGGTCGCCCAGCTCGTCCGCTCGGGCCCGGCATCCGTGCATTCCTTCTCCACCGCAGGAGGCACGCGTGATTGGGAGAGGGAGGCGAAGCCTGCGCCGTAGGGCTAGGTGCATGAGGTCGGGCGCCAGCGTGGTCGCGGGTCCCACGGGCAGGGCCACAAGCCAAGCGCTCGCGTGCGGACCGGCCTGTGAACGCAGCATGGCCCGTGTGCTCGGGTCGACCGCCGGCAGCAGAACGCGCTCTCGGAAGTGCGAAGTGCGAGAGCTGCACGCTGCTGCCAGCCGTGTCCCCACACGCCGGGCTCCGCTGCTGCAGAGGGCGCTGCCGACTGCAAGCATTCTTCCCAGGTCGGGCACGCCTCCCAGCCGGCTGCCTGCAAGAATATGATCTCCAAGTTCGTCTTTACGCGGCACAGGGAAAAACCACGTTTGGGAGAAAACCCTGCGCCGCGGGAACAGCGCGACTCGATGCTTTGATTGAGGCGCGAAACAGGCACGGATGGCCCCGAGATTGCTTAGGAACCTCAATCAGCCAAGAAGCGAAACAGGAGAGGACCGGCTGTACGTGGCCCGGGCTGAAGGCCGTACGGAAGCGTGGGGTTTAGCGAGCCGGCTGTACGGGGCTCTGGCTAGCGGGCATGCATGCGCGTGTAGGCGCTCAATGCTTGAAATTTTCAAGCGGAGGCAGCATAGGACAGAGCGAGGGCAGGCAAAGCTGGGGGGAGGACACGCGGAAACGAGGTTCCGGCAGCGCCTACGGCGCTGGAAGCGCGGAAGGGGCGTTGTCAATGGCAGGCACGCGCCGCAAGACCGCGCGTGCATTCTCCCGCTGCAAAGTCACGCTCATGAATTGGCACAACTGATCAGCAACAAAGCCCGTCGGCTCACCGGTACGAGCCGAGATGAGGGAGGCCAGGGAGCGCCAAGTGCGCATGGCAGTGGAGCCCCAGCCGCCGCCACTGGCCTCGGCGACCAGGGGCACGAATTGGATGCCCTGCGCTTCGCATTGGGCGGCCGTTTGGAGGTAAGTGCGTTTGCGATCCTCATAAGCAGTACAAGCACGGGAGCCATCAGCGGCCGAAGCTGCAAGAGACCCCCCCCGAAGCCCGCTCGTGACCGCAAGGTCGAAAGCTGCTGGACCGCGGAGGCCCCAGCGCGGCACAAACACGTCAGCAGGCCGCCGACCCTGCAGAGCAGCAGCGGCACCAGCCTCGCAGAAGCCAAGCTCAGTTGGACGGGCCGGCAGCAGACCAGCCTTCTCGACTTCTGGGGACAGGCCCGCCGCAGCGGCACGGGCAGCTAAAGCAGTACGCAGGCGGTTGTGGTATGAACTTGCTACCGACACCTGGTTTTGGTAGGTGTTGGCCCGGGCTCAGGTTGGTGAAACTGGTGTCTCCCAGCGCAGCTGTGTCTTATAATTGCTGAAGCGTTTTGCGCCAACAACAACCACGGGGCACACTGTTGAAGATTTCTGCTCGGGCCTATCGTTGGAGTCCGTTGGAGCGGGGACAAGGGGGAAGCCAGTGAAAAAATAGTGAATTATTTTGCGGCTGCACGATACCGAAACCGGTAGCTTGTCACGTGCGGCTTTTCGTTTTGGCAGCTTTCCGGGGAGGGGTGAACACAAAAGCGACGGCAGAAATTATAAACAGGAAACCGAATTGCCCTGTTTTGCAAATTTGCCCCCTACGGTCCTACAGGCCTGAAGGCGGCGGTGGGCGAAGCCTTCAAACTTAAAGCCCTCTCCATCGCACTGCAACATAAAAGTCATGACAAGCAAAAATCGCTGTGCCTTCTGCCCTGTTATGTCAATTTACAGGGCCCTCCTACAGTCCTACGGGCGTAAAGTCGGCTTTGGGCGAAGCCCTGAAACTCAAAACCCCCTCCATCGCACTGCAACACGAATTTTTGCAATGCAAAATCGTTGTGCCCTGCGCAGTGTTACGTTAGATTACGGGGCTCTCCTACAGTCCTACGGGTGTAAAGGCGGCTCTGGGCGAAGCCCTCAAACTCTGTTAAAACTCAACCCCCCTGCGTCGCACTCAACAGCACGCAAATCAATCTGCAACTGCAAGATCTTTCTTCTTCCGAGGGCTGTGTGCAGTGCACGCAGTGCGTCTTGTCAAAATTGCCTGGATCCCATGGACTGCAACGGGAATTGCGAGCTTTGCGACTCAGGCTGAGTGGCAGGTGTCACTGGCATCACAGGCTGCACAGGCTTTGTGCGACAGAGAATGTACAGCATCATTGTTCCAATGCAGCTAAGGGCCATCGTGTTTCCTGCCAGCTTGCGAACTTGACCGATGCTCAGCTTGCCATCCGCCAGCAAGCGGGACACCGGCGCTTCCTCACCCAGCCCCTGCACCTCCAGGGCTTCTTGGGCAGTGAGAAATTTTCCCTTTGACAAGCTGTAGACGCAAGCACCGGTCGTCAAGCACGGGATCAAAGTGTCCAAAGTGCCGAATGGCGGACGCTGGGATAAGTCTGCGATGTCCTGCGCGGCGGCAGCCGGGTTGGTCTTCATCCTCTCAAGGCGAAGGTCGTGATGCTTTTGCAAACTTTGGTGCTTGGTCTTGGAGTCATGTTGGGAGATGCTTTCTCCTCCACGAAAGAATACGTCACCTTTGAGGTCGCACTGCTGCACAAAGATGTCCACAAACTCCCGGAAGGTGCCCGAAAAGGACACATGACCAGCGTGCCACACAACAGAGTAACGTCTCTTTCGCTTGGCTGGAATGCCAAACATGGTTGGACAAATGTTGAACACCTCAATTTGCCACTGACGGCTGCTGAAGAAATGCAAGGCATCCATCAACTGCCAATCCGGGTAATCCGGCGTGTTTTCATGCAAGAGAAGACAAACGCCGGAGTCGATGAAATGTGCCAGCCAAATTGTGTGGGGTATAGCCGTGGGCCCCACAGAGCCCTGCCGCTTTCCCCTCCGAGACCAATCCACACAAGGGGATCCCGCCACGTGCAGTTTGCGCCCCGCTGCAGGGCCTGCGTCGTCATTCAACGGGCACCCGAGCTCACATTCATGCAGCAGGCACGGCGCTGAGCTCAACAAAGCTCCAGGCTGCAAGAGCGGCTCCATCAAGCGGCGCATAAAGGCCTTTTGATCTGTTAAAGACATCTCTGGCTTCGCAAACTGTTGAACGATGCTCCTCATTGCACTCAGAGCCTCTGGAGAAATTGATGCCTCCAGGTTGTCAAAAATGTGGCACGGGGCATGCTTGGCATATGAAGGCACTGCGTGTAGGTGCCGCAGGCACTTTTGAGCACCGACTGCAATGTCTCCCGATGAGCGCAGCCACACACCTTGCCGTGCACCAAGCCGGAGGCCACGAGCTGCACAAGCTCGTTCAATCTCCCGGGCCGCGCAGGACGGCGCATCCAACCCTGAAAAGCGTGTGATCATCTCGACTCCAGCCTCAAGGTTGCCCTTCAAGGTTTGCCACATGTCCCCTTGGATGCACGCAAGGTGCCTCTCAGCCCATGCTAGGCACCAGTTCACAGCCTCCTGATCCGGATCGCTCTTGTGCGCCTGCAACAATTGCAAATCACAACAACGCGGTGCGATGTCTTGCAAGCTCAAGCGCAATCAACAGGAAAGCCTGGCCTTTCACCTAGCGGACCTGACTCGGCTGCTTTTTTGCTCACGCTGTAAAAGACACAGTGTCTGCAAGATGGCACCTCCTCAGGCGCATGACTTTCGTGACTCTCGTGTTTTCGTGCCAAGCAATGAGTCTGCAAAAACACAACCTGCAAAATCTTCAGCTCTGGTGGCTCTAGTTAGTGTATGGATGTATGGAGAGAAGGCACAGAAATGGCACGCAGCACGCACGCCGCAAAGACTGAGCATGAAGGAAAATCAAAAATGCGGAACGTCTTTGCGCCATGAAGGGGCAGCCGGGTTGGTGTGCTTGTGCAAAACTTTGGCGCTTGGTCTTGGAGTCATGTTGGAAGCTTTTTCCTCCACGAAAGAATACGTCACTGCAGCTCACCGGCGCTTTGCGTCCTCGTGAGCCTTCTTCTTCTCGAAGAACTGTTGCATTGCCTTCTCAGCACGCGCGGCATCGTCAGCTTGCTGCTGGGCTTCGGCTTTCTTCTGGCCTTTCTTCTGGATCTCGGTTTTGCGCGCATCCTCCGCAGCTTTCTTCAGGACCTCGGCCTGGCGCTTGTCCTCCTCGGCACGCTTGGCGTCCTCCACGGCTTTCTAACAATTTTACTTGGAAATTACAATTCTTCCGAGCCTAACAGGGTTTAGGGTTTGGGGTTTTTTGGGGTTTAGGGGTTTAGGGGTTTAGTTTGGGGCCATTGGGGTTTAGGTTTTGAGGGTTACGGCGCGGGGTTAGGGCTCACTGGAGGGGTGAGACTGTAAACCTGGGGGGTGGGGGTTTTTCTTCTGCATCTCGGCTTGCTCGGCGTCCTCCGCGGCTTTCTTCTGCATCTCGGCTTTGGCGTCCTCCGCGGCTTTCTTCTGCATCTTGGCTTGCTGGGCGTCCTCCGCGGCTTTCTTCTGCATCTCGGCTTGCTTGGCGTCCTCCGCGGCTTTCTTCTGCATCTTGGCTTGCTGGGCGTCCTCCGCGGCTTTCTTCTGCATCTTGGCTTGCTGGGCGTCCTCCGCGGCTTTCTTCTGCATCTTGGCTTGCTGGGCGTCCTCCGCGGCTTTCTTCTGCATCTTGGCTTGCTGGGCGTCCTCCGCGGCTTTCTTCTGCATCTCGGCTTGCTCGGCGTCCTCCGCGGCTTTCTGCTGCCTCTCGGCTCGCTCGGCGTCCTCCGCGGCTTTCTTCTGCATCTTGGCTTGCTGGGCGTCCGCGGCTTTCTTCTGCATCTCGGCTTGCTCGGCGTCCTCCGCGGCTTTCTGCTGCCTCTCGGCTCGCTCGGCGTCCTCCGCGGCTTTCTTCTGCATCTCGGCTTGCTCGGCGTCCTCCGCGGCTTTCTTCTGCATCTGGGCTCGCTCGGCGTCCTCCGCGGCTTTCTGCTGCATCTCGGCTCTCTCGGCGTCCTCCGCGGCTTTCTTCTGCATCTGGGCTTGCTCGGCGTCCTCCGCGGCTTTCTTCTGCATCTCGGCTTGCGCGGCGTCCTCCGCGGCTTTCTTCTCGGCTTGCTTGGCGTCCTCCGCGGCTTTCTTCTGGATCTCGGCCTCACGGGCCCGGGCTTCCTCCTCCTGGCGCGTGAGCTCCTCCAACTGGGCTCGCTCTGCAGCCTCCTTGTCTTGTTCAACCTGACGGGCTTGACACTGCGCATAGAGCGCAGCGAGGCCTTTGGAAGACGCGGCACCCTCAGCAGCATCTCCAACCCAGTCGGCGGCAGCTTCCAAATTTCGATCCAGTTGCATGGCAGGGGACCACAGCACGCGAAGGCCGAAGGCACACTTCATGTTGACGACCTGGCAGGCATCAAAAAGACCTAAACCCTGAAACCTTAAAGCCCTAACACCTACACCTTAAACCCTAAACCCTAAAAAGTACCTCCTTTAGAATTACGATTTTCAAAACTGATGTTTTTATTTGTTTTGCTTGTTTTTGTCAGTGCTTTCCCATGTTTTTTCGGGTGTTCTTGCTTTTTTTGACACCCTAAGCCCTAAACCCTAAACCCTAAACCCCAAAAAGTACCTCCTTTAGAATTACGATTTTCAAAACTGATGTTTTTATTTGTTTTGCTTGTTTTTGTCAGTGATTCCCACGTTTTTTCGGGTGTTCTTGCTTTTTTGTTGGTTTTGGTTGTGATTTTCCCTCGGGCTGGTGTCTCAAAAGTCCCCAAACCCTAAACCCTAAACTCTCTGGCCTTCTCCGCGAGCACCCACGCTGGCGGCACATACGCAATGGTATCCTTGTGGATCAACGCGTGGCAAAGGCCATCCGGGAACATGGTCAGGTACGCTGCGACAGTGCTGGGCTGTAGCGCGTTCAGAAAGTCCTGCACATCTTTGTAGGCGACTCGCTCGCCCTTCTTTGTCGTCTTCACATAAGACACCACAGCCTCCAAGGGCATCATGAACACCCAACGATGACCCTGGACCTGCACACGCAGGGAGGGAAGCTGAAGCACATCGAGCCCGCAGGCAGTCATCTCCTCACCGTAGCCGAACACAGCGACGGTGTCTGTCATGGACTGCAGCGCATCATACCCATCTCCTGCCAGCGAATGAATGCATAGGCAGCAGGCAGTCTTTTCCTAAACAAAAGAAAAAGCAGGGCAGGCAGAGCCGAGCCTGGACGTGATTCCGCGATGCCGAACTCCTTAAGGACCATGTCTCGTAGATCATTGGTCTCTTTCACCGCCTGCGTGAACCGTCTCGTTCCCTGCAAAGAAGCCGCGGATCCAGGGAAGCCATTGTAGAAAGATGCTAGGCAAGATTGAATCTTGGCGTCTTCCACGACCTTCTTCGTGTTGGGCAGCGTCGAGAGCGAGTATCGCGCGATCCACGGCCGGGAGAAATTCAATTTCTGGAAGTCACCGGGCTCCTTCAGGATCTCGTGCGACATCACCTGCACACCCAGCTTCACGTAGTCGATGTCCCAGAGAGACCCCACGCGACCTTGCTTCTCTGCAGCCTTTGTAAGCTTTCGTTCTTCCGCCTCCCGTTTCCTCTTCTCGGTGCTGATGGCTTTCATTTGCGCGGCGTCGGCGGCGCGCTTCTCCCTTTCCTGCTTGGATGTCTTGTCTTTGGCAAACTTTTTGATCTTGTCGTGCGCACTCTTCAAAGACGATCGCATGACACCTAGCAGGTTGATCACAGGCTTGAAGTCCTGCTCCAGCGCTTTGCGTTCTGCTTGGGAGTTGACGTTCTTGACCTCGATTTGAACTTGCCGCACGATATGGGAAACAGGATAGGCTTGGGCAAACATGTCGGGCATCTCGGCCACCTCTGTCTGGAACGCGGCTGCGTAGGCTGCAGTATCTTTGGCCACCACCTCGTCACTCGCAAGGGCCTTGCCCGGCTCGTAGCCTCAGGACTGTTTTGGGGTTTAGGGTTCGCGGTTACGGTTCAGGGGTTTCGGCTATAGGGACCATGTCAGGCGAAGTGGCTGCCAACGAGCTTCTCCGACAGCTTGAAGCGAGCGTCTAAGAGGCGAATGGCATCACGTTCACTCGCAGGCGTGTCCGGGCTGTTGCACATATTTTCCACGTCCATGTCCTGCAGGAAGGTCGCCACGTCTGACCGACACGTTTTCAGTGCCTCGAGCTCCTTGTCCACCGCGGCGATCAGCTTGTTCGTGATAGCCATGCGTTCGGTGCCAGCATCAAAGGTCTTGGCTTTCTTCGCGGGCCCGGGCTCCTGCTCAGCAGTGTCTTCCGCAGCTGAAGCTGAACCTTCGGCGGCGGTGGGTGGTCTCAAAGCAATCTTGCGTCCAAAGACCGAATTCACGAGGTCGCTGTTCGCTGCGTCGATGCCGTACCTCTCAATGTCATTGTCCGTGAATGCCCGGCCTTCCAACGCCTCCTCCATGAGCTGCTCGGCTTCCGCGGAGTGCTTGACCTTCTTGTAGTCTTTCACCATGCTCTTCTCGTCTATCACACTGTCCTCAACCACCAAAAAGTCGTCGAGCTTCACAGGGATTTGCAACGGGCTGTCGCGGGGGCCATTCATGAGCTTGTACTTTGCCGCCTCGGATTCCTCAGCCCACTTGGTGAGAGCCTCGGATCTCTCCAACCCCAAACGCTCCATCCAGTGGTTCACGGCGCGCTTCTTGTGCATGAAAACCGCCTGTGACAGGGGGTGGGGCTGGGCAGCAGAGCGGTTTGGCTCCAGAAAGTACGCAAGGATAAGAAGAAGAAATGAGAAACAAAGAAAGAAGCGGAGGCCGAATGCTGCTAAGGGGTGGAAGAAAGGTTTCCTGGGACACTCTGTGTCTGCATGCTTGCTGGATTCTGAACACGCTGAAGTTGAGATCAAGCCAAAGAGTGAGTCTGACAGCAAGACGCTAGGACAACACACATGATGCGCTTGCCTTGTAGCCGAGCTTGAACTTGCTTTGTGTGCGGCGAGCCTCCTGATACTGCAAGAAGTCAAACTTCAGGCGCATGGAGTACTTGCGCCTCGTGGAACTCTGCTTCTTAACGTACTCAAACATGAAGTCCTGGAACTCTTCGGCATTTTTCTTTGCCAAGTCATTGAACCACTCAAGTTGGTTTTCCCTCTCTGCGTCACGTTTGGCCGCGGATATGTCAGCACGACATGTGCAACAAAACTTCTGCTTCTGCGCACGAGGGCGCTTTGCACACAAGGTGCAAGGATCCACCGCAGGCACGGTGGAAGGCCGAAGCTGCGTGGGCGTTGGCGGCAGCGGCGGCGCCTCCACACTGGAGGCATCCACGCCTGCAGCCGGCGATGGTGAGGCCAGGGCCTTGTCCGGAGATTCGCCGCAGAGACTGCCCTGAGACTTCTGCGGAGAGATCGCAGCATGCGCAGCCTCAGACTTAGGCGGAGAGATCACAGGTACATCACCAGCAAGGGAGCCCTCGGGCCCATCATCATCAGGAGCAGCAAACATGCTGAGCACGCTCGTCTGGCAAGGCTGTAAGCAAAAACAATGCCTACAGCACATCGACATGCCGTGCTCGATTCAATAACAGGTGGCAACTTGCAAGACAAGCGCACACCACACGCAAGACACGAACCCTGGCCAGCCTGAGCAAGGTGTGAGGGCTGTGAGGGAGCTGCAGCCGCAGCAGCACCAAAAGCAAAGTCATCATCAAAGCTACGGCTAGAGTTCCTGACCAGGAACTGATGCCCACTCGCTTGCCGTTTGATGTCCGGGCCCAAAGCCTCAAAGGCACTAAACTTTGACCCTGCTGTGTGCGCAGCGGGTCTCTTCATGTTCACGGGAGGCTTCTTTGCTGCGTGCAAAAGAAGCCGGTCAGCGCTGTGGCATAAGCGACAAGTCGACCCTAGAATCCTAGAAGTAATCAACACTGCCTCATGAATCGCAAAAGCGTATAGCACTGCATGCGCCTGAAGCTGAATCTGGTCAGCGCTGTTAATGTCCCTACAAGTAGTCAAGACTACTTGATGAATCGAACATGCAAGACTGCAACAGAACTGATGAGAAGCGACTTGAGGCCTGCAGCGCCTTAGAAAGGCACAGAACACGCGCGGTCATGCTTCAAGGCTTCAAAGCAACACAGGCACATCGATATGAGTGACTTGATGGAACTGTCCAAGCTTCACCCGGGCCCAACACAACATCTTCGGCCCCAGCGGTGTGGTTCTCCCAACACTGCCAACACAAATATCCCACAAAACGCGCCTGCACTTGAAAACACACCGACATGCTCAGAAAGTTAAGTTTTGAAGAAAAGTGAGCCACGGAGCCCAGAACTTGGAGAAAGTGTGCCACGGAACCCAGAATGCAAGTCGAAACGGCACGGACACCGTGCCACCAAACACTGTCCACCACATGTCTCGGAGGCCGGCGGCTCGGGAGGCGCGCGGAGGCGCGCGGAAGTGCGCGGAAGTGCGCGGGAGTGTGCGGGAGTGTGCGGGGGCGCGCGGAAGTGCGCGGAAGTGCGCGGGAGTGCGCGGGAGTGCGCGGGGGAGCGCGAGGGAGTGCGCGGAAGCGCGCGGAAGCGCGCGGAAGTGCGCGGGAGTGCGCGGGGGGGTTGCGCGGAAGTGCGCGGAAGTGCGCGGGAGTGCGCGGGAGTGCGCGGGGGGGCGCGCGGAGGTGCGCGGAAGTGCGCGGGAGTGCGCGGGAGTGTGCGGGGGGGATGCGCGGGGGGGGGCGCGGAAGTGCGCAGGCGTGTGCTTCATGCGCATTCCAGCCCAAAGGCAAATTCGCAGAAAAACAATCCCAAACGAGGAAAAACGCGAGAAGCAATCCCCAAGGTAATAAAAAAGAACAGAAACAATCCCCAAAGGGCCGTCTCCTGGAAAACGCCTGAAGGGCCAAAGGGGCTCAAAGCTGTGCTGTTCCCATGCCAGGCTGTGGCTCCTGCACGGTTCCCGGCCCCCCATTTGCAGGCTACTATGCAGTTTCGAACAAAGCCTCGAAACACGAGGAATGTTGAAGTTACTGGCGTCAATCCGAAGCCCTATATAGCCTACAGCTTAAAGCCCAAAGCCTAAACCCTAAGCCCTAGATCCTAAAGCACCATAATGCCGGCCTGGCTGGCAGTAGGGTCATACACGGAGCCTTACTGTTGGTTAGGATGGAATGAAGGCCGAAGGCACACTTCACGTTGACCGGGCAGGCATCAAAAGACCTAAACTCTAAAACCTTAAAACACTAACACCTACACCCTAAACCCTAAACCCTAAACCATAAAAAGTACCTCCTTTAGAATTACGATTTTCAAAACTGATGTTTTTATTTGTTTTGCTTGTTTTTGTCAGTGTTTTCCCATGTTTCTTCGGGTGTTCTTGCTTTTTTTGACACCCTAAGCCCTAAACCCCAAACCCTAAACCCTAAAAAGCACCTCCTTTAGAATTACGATTTTCATAACTGATGTGTTTCTTTGTTTTGCTTGTTTTTGTCAGTGATTCCCATGTTTTTTCGGGTGTTCTTGCTTTTTTTGACACCCTAAACCCTAAACCCTAAACCCTAAACCATAAAAAGTACCTCCTTTAGAATTACGATTTTCAAAACTGATGTGTTTATTTGTTTGCTTGTTTTTGTCAGTGTTTTCCCATGTTTCTTCGGGTGTTCTTGCTTTTTTTGACACCCTAAACCCTAAACCCTAAACCCTAAACCCTAAAAAGTACCTCCTTTAGAATTACGATTTTCAAAACTGATGTTCTTATTTGTTTTGCTTGTTTTTGTCAGTGATTCCCACGTTTTTTCGGGTGTTCTTGCTTTTTTTGTTGGTTTTGGTTGTGATTTTCCCTCGGGTTGGTGTTTCAAAAGTCCCTTTTTTAACCCAGGACTTTCAAAAGTCCCTAAACCCTAAACCCTAAACCATACAAGCCATAAACCCTAAACCACGCTGCCCACACTCTCAACACTCACACAGCTGCGACGGTCCCGCCTGCCCCCATGTTTCGTTGAGTTGCAACACATACATGACACCTCTCTCGCCAGCAGCGGGGGTGTCCCCCCCCCCCCCCCAACGCCCCGGCTGTTTTCATTTGAACTTGAGGAGTTTGCCTGGGGGTTAGACCCTATGATGCCAAAATAACCCGCCCGGGGTGAGTGCTGGTAACGCAATCGTGGCTCCATAACCCGCGCGGGGTTCGACCCGCGAGATTCTGTGTCTCTATCTCTATATAGATGCATGCCTGACACGCAGAGAGCAGAATCATACATTATTTGGCGAATCTGCAGCCCAGGCCCCCTACATCCCCCCCATCCCTACACATGACAAAGGAGCAAGTGAAACACACTTCACACAACGGCAGACATGCACCAGGTCATTTCTCAAAAAAGCCATCTTGGATCTGCAGGTCGCAATGCTGCAGGCCACGGAGCAAACACGGTGCACTATGCATTGCATGCGTCCTCTGTCACCTCAGTCACCTCAGTCGGTTGGAGCCGGCAGCGCCGGCAGTGGTGCTGCGTCCAATTCTGCATCAGTCATGATAACGAGGCCTCTTTTGTCATGCGACTGATGTGGGGCCCTATCAGGGTTGCTGCCAGCGAAAGCGAAATCAGGAGCTCGAACGCACCATGTCTTCAGCTTTCGGATGGCAGTGTCACGATCCTCCGGCTGAGACCAACCGCAAGTCCGTGTGCACTTGGTTTCGTTATAGGCCCGCGAATGGAATCGACAAAGCACCATATAAGAGGGCTTCTTCGTGCCAGAGCCAGGCCTGAAAGTGAAGCGGAACCCCCTCCATTCGAAGGTCTCGTCGCGGCGCCGTCTGACAGTAGCCGGCGCATCAGGATGCGATGAGTCTGCCTCCCTCTTTCTGTCAGGAACTGGCGCGTCATCGTGAGGCACTGCCGCGGGTTTGCCTCCACTGTCTGAATCCGAGTTTCCAGAAGTGCTACTGCTACTGCTGGTACTGGAACTGGAACTGCTGCTGGAACTTCCGCTGCTACAAGGCGAGACTGCTTCATCAGGAGCCGGCAGATTCAGATCAGACAGGTCCACGTTGGACCAATCTATGCCACCCACCGGGGAACCAGAATCAGCATCCTTAGGTGGCTCAGGTCCAACTAACAACTAATAGTTTCAGCACACATGTGAGTGCAGCAAAAAAAGCGACAGAGGGATAGAATGACATAGAAGGAAAGAGAGGACGCGTGCCACGTTGAAGAAAAGATTCGTCCTCCAAGAGATCCAAGGCCTCCTCAATCGCCTCAGCCTCAGCCTCCTCCTGTACAGAATCCTGGCGCCCTGCATCCAGCTCAGGAAGTTCATCAAAGTCATTGACACAATGTTGTGGCTCTGCAAAAGCTGCTCGTGGCACAGCGGCACCGTCTGTCAGAGGAAGTGGCTTAGTGCCAGCGCAAGCATCCAGGCCGAGTATCTTTCCGTAGTAGGTATCGTTCTCAAAGTGCCGGATTTCCTCCGGCTGCCCAGGCAGCGGCAACTCAGCATCTGCATACGCCAGGCAACACAAGTACCGATGCAAGAGCTTTCCCTTGAGCACGTACACGTTCTTGTCGTCCGAAGTACGGAAAGTCAAGTCCAACGGCACCACGGCGCCTCGGGCATCGGGGTCATCCGACAAGAAGTTGCAGCGCCAATGTTGCCTGTCCAGGTACGAAAGCAGCTCCATCCTTGTCCACGACAGGGCAGGCTGCCCGTCTGGGACAGCAAACACTGAAACTGGGCTGGACAAGCGCATACTCAAGTGGCAATGTTGCAAAGCTTCTGCGCTCAGCAACCACGCGGATTGATTAGAGTCACAGAACGTGGCAGTGGCCAAGCCAGCATTCTGGAGGCACTCCAAAGATTCAAGGTTGCTTGCGGCACCCTCCTCGTCATGACTGATGTGCATGGCATGCTCATTCATGCTTCCAGAAATTGCACCCATTCGAGCCATGTGGGACACCAACTCTCCGGCAGGGCCACGGACATATTCAGGAAACCCGGGCAGGAATTTGGGGGAGAACTGAGCACCTGTAGAGCCTTGAGTCCACAAACTGACACACTGCGTGGCTTCTGCTATGCTGGTTACCTTCGGCGCATCAAAGAACCTGAGGCCCAACCTGCCATCTGGACCTCTTTCAGGCAGCAGATCCACAAGAGCGCTCTGGAGTGTGCCACCAGGCTGGGAAACACGCACGGCCACAGCAACATCTAAGTGGCCCATCTGCTTGGCATAGGCATCTCCAGCCTTGACTCGACGCAACCCGGCAGGGTTTTTCTTCACCACCTGCCCAAGAAAAAAAGCACAAGAACAAGGCACGTGCATCAGCAACAACAAAGAATGACAAAGAAGTGAGACAGTGAGACGAACAATGAGAGGGGTGGCGCTGCAACCTCTATGCGACTCTATGCCCTGCCTGCACGAAGACGGTGGGCTCATTGGGTTCTGCGATTTCGGCCATGGCCAGGGGATTCAAGTCGTCACGGGGCTCGGGTTGGCCAACTTGCAAGACATGAGGTTCTGGATCGGGCGCCGAGAACATCTGCTGAGGCACATGTTCGGCTACGGCTGCGCTTGCGTCCGCACGTGGCAGCAAAGCTTGCAGCACGGAGCGTGTAGGCGGCAACGTGCCAGTGACAGAGTAGATCTGACCTTCCTGACAGTGACGACGGAAATGTTCCTGCATCAGAATGCGCAGCATCATAGATTGTTTCTCTTCTTCAGTGGCTTGCTGAGAAACAAGTTGGCGCAGCTTGGGCGCGGCGTCAGGATTGCTCCGGTACTGCGGCTGTTTCAATGCCCTGGCTGCTTCAGCACGCTTGTCATACTGAGTCTCAAGGTCACAATGGTACACAATGTTTGAAGCGTGCCGAAGCTTGACTTTGCTGTCCAAGCTCGCAAGTCTCACGACATCTGGGTGACAGGACATGCCCAAATGCAGCAGCACATGTGGCAGGCCTTTGCGAGGGTTGACCTTCAGCCTTTTGACATGTCGCTGCCATTCTTCAAGCAAAGGCAGGTCTTGAAAGCATCTCCTGTTGAACTCATGCGAGCGGACAGCCACAGAAAAGGTGGATGGCAACATTTTCTTCATCAACGCAGTCTTGGCCTTGAGCAATGCATGCCTGGCCTCAATGCTCCTTTCGACACAGGATACAAAAGCAGCCGCAGCTGCTTCCCTGGCTAAATCACAAGAATCACAGCGGGAAGTGGAACCAGACAAGAAGGCATCGAGCTGCACAGAGAAATCACTTTCAAAAAAATGCTTCGTCAGAGCATGGTGTTTGTCACTGTCCCGACGCTCATCGTATAGCTGCTTTGCCTGCGTCAAAGAGGAACGCGCTACATGCTCACTGTGATGACCCAATACAAGAAGACAGTGAGGCAAGGCTTTCCAAAAAGCAAACTTGATGGCCAAATAGTTCTCCAACTTAGCCTGCGCCGATGCATAATCCTTCAGTACAGTGTCCCGGTCTTCTGAAGGCAACGACGAACACGCCATGAGAAGCTCAGCATGCTGCGTCTGCAAGGTTTGCTGAACAACGTCGTCCAATGCCCCTGCAGCGAGTTCAGGCGCCCTGCGCCCTGCTAAAGGGCAGGAGTAGCGGGTGCGAAAGATGGTGTTGCCTGAAAGCGAGGCTGATTCTGGCACGGTGCGATAGTGACAGGGGCAGGCCTCAAACCAATGCTCCAAGTGATCTACAACACGACCCAGGCGTATGATCATGCACAAGTATTCCCACCAGCAGGGGCTGCTCACAGCCTCCGACATCTTGGAACCATCTGCAAACGAATCCCTGTCTTCGTCTGTGGCATCCGGGCCAGGTGCACCACCCAGAACCTTTGACAAGTCCCAATACACGAAAACCAAACGAATGGACAGCAGTTCCTTGCATGTCGTGATTAAGGTGCCCCATCGGGCCTCATGCAGATTGAGTTGCAACTGCTGCACAGCTGTCTCAAATGAACTGGCTTCACTGCCACGCAAAATTTCTGCAATGAAACGCTCACGAACATGCTTCTTGGAAAAAACCTTGTTGACAGCTTTAAGGCCGGGCAGGAACCAGGATTCGTAAGCATCAAAGGCGGAAGTCAATTCCTCGACAGAGTGGTGCAAGATATGCAAGGCACCAGGAACCTGCACAGCCAATGGAAAAAGTTTCGGCATTACAATTTTGCCCTCGCGAACCTGCAGGAAAGGAGTGCCGTTGACAAGACACGCGTTCCCCTGCAGAGCCACGTCCTCATCTTCGCAGGCCGGGGCCGGGGCCCTTTCAAAATCAAGTGCGTTTTGCGCCCACGGAAACAGCAACGAGATGTCAACATTCTCCACATCACACAATCCTGACTCTGTGCCAAAGTCTGTCGTGACGGCACGCACAGTGGAAAGATATTCAGCAACTTCATGCCACTCGCCCACTTCTAATCTAAGGGTGTGGAGAAGCGCATGGACTTTGTGGACCAACTGAGCTCGCTGACTGCCCTGGGCTGACGGTGGGCAGAGGTGTATGTCTACTGTAGGATGCCGCACGCTGCCCAGAGAATCCAAAATGCGCTGCACATCTTCACGCTCCTGCTGAACTTGGCGAAGCTGCTCCTGCAAATCAAGCAAGTCATGGTCCTGCGCACGGCCAGCAGCAGACTCACAGGCAACAGTCAAACGCTGAAAATGGGAACGTGTCTCGATCATGCGCCATTGGTTCTGGACCCACTGCGAGAAATCACTGGGCGACAGGCTGTGCGCCTCACTGAGGACCCAGTCAAAACCCCGTTGGGGGCTGCTATCCACCAAGAAACAACGTACAGCGCGGCCGCGAGTCTCCCTAAACAAGGATCGCATCACAAACATGAACCCAACATCGACAGCAAGGCGCCAACGGCTGATCTGGGAAGGACCGGGTGCCTTTATCAGACCACGATCTATGGCAGCGCTGAGCTCTGTCGACTGATTGGGCAGCAACAGTTGCAGCGAGTGCCGCATTTGCTTTTCCAAGTCTGCCGAGTCACGCAAAAGCGTGCACGCCTGGACTGCAGTAACAATTGCTTTTGTCGAGTACTCCTGCTTGCGACCTCGCTTAGCTGCCTTGCCTGCCTCTGTAACACTAGAGCGGTGCTGGAAAGTATGTGTGTCTGAAGTCAAAGACCGATGGAGTTCATCCACTTGTAAGATCTGCGTGTCTACCTGAAAGAGAAGATCTGCACGATCGGGGCTCTGTTCCTGCAGCATCTGGCGGAAAGATGCGAGAGTTTGTCTGACATCCAGCAGAGACTGCAAGGGCGGAGCAGGCACTGCTATACGTCTGGAACTAAGCTCCTTGTTGGCCCGCCACTGGTTCGACCCATGCAACTCGCGGAAAGACTCGACCAGGAAGTCGCCTGCCAACCAAGAAGGGTAGGACATGCAATCAACAAAATCTGCGCACCTAACGCTCACGATACTGCACAGCAATTACTCGAGCTACTGAAAAAAGCGCGCCTCGAGGTCGCCTTACTTGCTGCTCCGTGCAGCGAACCATGTCGGCCAGGACAGGCCACTTGCCGCGCACCGTCAAGAACACGACTGGTGCCAGGGATGTGAACACAGTTAGTTCCCGACTCGATTCTACCCCCCACCCTTGCAGGACGTCACGCAGCGCCCGGCCATCCGAGCACAAGGAGTCGTTCAACTGTTGCAATGCTTCTTCGCGCAAACACATTGTCCAAGAAGACCGCTGCTCAGCCAGCTTGAGCTGACCAACATGAGCCCTGTGGTCCAGGGGCTGCTGAAAGCACGTGCTCGCCAGAACATCAAACAGTAGCCACTGAGGATTGGCAAGGTGAGGTGCCGGGGAACCCCAAGCATGCCAAAGCAAGAAACTTTCTCTATTTGTTATGTTGCCCAGCTGTTGCAGAGCCCTCGGCTTCTGCAGCAAAACGGCACCGACAACTTCTTGATGTTCGCTGGGCCATGACCCACTGTGCAGCCAGACATCTAAGCATTCACGTTGCTTGGCGTCCAATTCGCATGAAAGACAAGCTTGCTTCAGAAAACCCACATCGGAATTACGAAGATCGAGCTCGGAAGCCTTGAATCTGCGTTGGCCAGACTTCAAGTTTTTTTGTCTGTGAATTCCCAGGCTTCTTGTTACCCCCGACCACGGCGACGCCACTAAAGCAAGCACAGGCATGGTGCATGAAAACTGACTCTGCGATTTCCGAACTACTTTCGACACCGTCCAACTATTCAGTCCTGTTCTGGTCCTGTCTTTGCTTGTGAATATGAACTGCCCGAGGCCTAGGGTGTACAGCGGCACGCGTGAACATGTTCACTCTGCCTACAGTGGAGCTCCGCACATGACAGTCCAGCAGCGGCGGCACGTGACGTGCATCCAAACAAGTCAACGGCTTTGGTGCTGCGACAAAAATCGAAAATCGCCTGTCCGTCCCCGGCAAAATAATTTATAGGCAACACGTCAGGGCAACAATATGGGAATCACCAGCAACTCTCTGGGGGTGGTTCGAGTTCGAAAAAGGACTATAGCTGTCTACAACTGCAATTGCACCCGTGTGTGCACGCCACCGTGAGCAGCGTCCTGAAATTTTTGTCCAAGGCAAGCTCCCACTCCCACCAAAGCCTTTCAAGACCAAACCGTCCTAAGTCCCCAAACCCAAGGCCCTAGACCCCCCGAGATGAAGACCTTTCGGGATTTTGAACGACCCCCTGGCCGCCCTGGCCGCCCTGGCCCCCCGCCCAGGAGCCTGTTAAGACTCTCGAGTTAGCCTGGACCGCCAAGACCTTTCAAGGCCCCAGTATGGGCCAGCAGGCGCCGGTAGCAATTACCTATCAGTAACTCTCTTTTGAGGGGATCTCTGCTGCATATGCGTACTCAGATTGAGATAGGTGATGCTCTCCACTATTGTTCACCTTGTACATGATGTCGCCCAGACTGTAAACGATACTTCCATCTGCCAGTTCACAGATCCGCTTCTCATGGACTGTCGGCGCGCATGGATTTCTCGTATCGGCAAAGTCGGCAAAGTCGCGAATGATGAGCGCGATCTCATCTGACCACCGGATGCGTTTTATCACGTGGAGGAAAATCCACTGGCGGAGGACCATTCTTCTTTAGTTGTTGAACCTGCGCTTGCAGTCGTCCAGAAGTATGTCCCTGAGAGCCCATTTCTGACGACAAGCCCTCCTCTCGTGCTGCGACGGAGGTCTGAAGTACATGCTGTCTTTGGTGAAGACAATGAAGCAACCCAGTTTGAGAATGGCGCGAGTATCCGTGTCAGAGTACCCCAGGACTGGCCGAATCATTTTGACGAACTCCTCATGCGAGATGTCAGACGCGTTCAGATTAACCTCGAGCGGTGTACATAAGCGTTGTAATGCGCACTTGGCCCTTGACGAACTTGGCGACATTCCACCGCTCCTTCAACATGCCTTCCTATCCGCGAATGCCTGCTCTTCCTCTTTTTCACGCTCTCTGCACAGATGTCGCCGTCGTCGTAAACGGCGGGGACAACGAAAATCCCGCGGAAGAAGTCAAAGTCCGAAGAAGAGCGGAAAGGGCCCTCGCCACCATAGTACCGACTGAACATCATCGCGGCCACCCGAGCTACAGGAGTCTTGCCGACACCCGGCTCCCCGAGCAGGCACAGACTACATCAGTCAAATGTGGCACGAGTACTTTGAAGCGGTGTTCAAAACGGTGGGGTGGAAGTCCTGGATTGTGAGGTCGTATCGTGTGGTCAGCTTGGCTGGGCAGCCCTCATTGGCTAAGGAATCCAAAGCTTTCTGAACTAGCTTCTCTGACCAGCCCTTAATGAGGCTCCCCTCCTTACCGATATGCTTGTCAATCCAGCGCAACTGCTTCAGCTGGCTACGATCCCGCTCACCGTGCTTGATGATGAACTCCCAACCAGCATCCTGGTCATCTTCACTGGCGGTGTTGCCAAGTGCGGCTGAGGAGGCAGATCTCTTTTTTCACTCGTCAAAGAAAACTGTCGGAACAGTAGACCGCCCATTTGTTCCGGAGAGGTTTGCGCTCAATCTGTTTGTGACCCGCACCCCAAACCGTGATTTTCGCTTTAGTGTTTATGGCCCCCTCCGGCATGGGCCCGACACATACATGTTCAGGGAGCGCTCGCAAAACCAGACATTCTCTGGATCCATGGCGATGAACAGATAGTGAACAAGACACAATAGTTTCGAGCCTCATGTATTGTAGTGTTGTGATACCTAGGAATGCCAAACTCCCTAAATTCCAAAATTCCATAATCTTTGGGGCTAACAATTTCAAAATTCCAAAATTTTTGGGGGCTTCCAAAATTCCAAAAATCCAACATGTTTGGGCCCAACAATTCCAAAAAATTTAGGCCCAACGATTCCAAAATTCCACTTTTTGTGGAAATTTGAAATTTTGGAATTGTTAGGAATGATTCGGCCCCAAAGCTTTGGAATTTTGGAATTTCAGGTCCCACCCCCTCCATGAAGAGCACGATCGGCGCGTGTCATGGGGGGGGGGGGGGGTGAGCATATTGTTCAGTTGCGCTGTAAACGAAATCTCTCGAAAACACCGTAAATACATCGACACTTTTGCAGCTTTGCAATCTTCAATACTTGCACGTGCTTTTGACTGCGCAAACATGACTTGGCTAACCGGATTCCGGCTTGCGACACTAAGAAATTTCAACACACGACAAGCATGGCACGTTCGGCTCTTGCGTGGGTTAAAACCCAGTGTTGAACGATCTTCTAATATTTCTACATGTTTAAGCTTAATGACTTCGTAAAATGTCCATCAATGGTCACACAGACAGACAGAGACACACACACACACACACACACACACACACACACACACACACACACACACACACACACAGAGACAGAGAGAGGTCCACACACACCCACGCACACACCCACGCACGCGAGCACGCACACGCACGCTCGCACGCACGCCTACACACCCACCGCACCCACACCCCCACCCCCACGCACATGCACTCACACTTGCACTTGCACTCACTCTAACTCTCGCTCTCGCTCTCACGCTCGCTCTCATTCTCAATCTCACACTCACACACTCACACTCACACTCCACTCCCACTCACACACACACACACACACACATTTAAATTTGTTCTAAGGCAACTAACCTCGTTGCACCCGATACACGACACAGACGGCAACTCCTCTGCCATGTCATCATCTTGTCTTTCATTCCTGCCGACCAACCACACATAATTACATCTCGCTCGAAGGCTCTTAGGCGGAAACCGGAAAACGATTTTCTTTCGGAACTAGGGGTTAACTAAATGCTCATGGAGCTTGAATTTGCTTCTTCGGTCATTTCCGCCCTACAGCTACCTGATGTGGGAGCCATCCTGTAATTTTCAGACCGATGATAGATACCTTTCCGCAAGTTTCTGGGTGAGGGGGCGAGGAGGAGGCGAGGAGCCTGCTTGACTTAAAATCTAACAAGCCGCGTCGAGGGTGGGGAGGGATGCTTTCTTGTATTACACGCAAAGCTTCAAGGACTGCACTCTTTGCAATTTAAACTCCAAACACTAGCACAATTAGATGTCAGCTGTAATTCTTGAGGATAGTTGTTGGAGCATACATAGGCTACAGAGGCTTTAAAAAGGGCGGAAAACGAAAAGTGTCAAGCCATGTGAGGACATGGCTCTTGCAATTTCAAGATGCTGTCACTTATCGCACGAACTGAGATTAACGGCCAGCACTCTTGGCAAAATAGATTAAGCAAATATGAGGTACGCCAAGATTGGCATGCAGCTATTTAAGCTCACGTTCTCTTGTAACTGGTGATTCGTGAAAAAACACCTGGGGATTAGTGGGTGGCTTCTCGCTGAGAAACATTGAACAGCATTCCTGCAATTTTGATGTGCAACCATTTGAACTGGGTTGATGAATGTAATTGGAGGTCACCTTGAATTCTTAAACAAGTTCTACTCTTTCAAAGGTCGGAAATCTTGAGCGATCCATCACAACAGGTAGGCACAGGAAGGGGACCCGCAAGGTGTAAAATTACGCATTCGGCTCAGAATACAACACGGGTGACAGTCCACTTTTCTGCTACTTTTTCCTAGGGTCGTTTCATTTACACATCCGATCTCCATCTATGTTAGTCACAATAGTTTTGGATTCCCAGATTCCGGATTTTCGCGCCGTCACTTCACAGATTCCCCAGCTTTGCCGAGGTGCTCCCTGAAGTGCTGGCTGCGCTGCAAGAGAAGACAGCGTGAGGAGCGAAACCTGCGCCCTTCCACTTTTGAATGGCTTGGGGAAAAACGCCTGGCTCTTGGGTGCAATTTCCTGTATCGTTTTTTGGGACGGCGTTCTTTGCAGCAGTGGCGTGCTGGACGGGCACTGCTCGGCCTCAGAGTTTCGTGCCGGCCTTTCTTCGCTGGCCGCGGAAGTATCCCGAAGCCTGTCCGCCATTGCTGAAGAGGCTCCCCCCTCCCCAAGAGAATTCGGAGCTTTTGAGGTTGGGTGGAAACTCGTCTTCATGTAAAGCAGCCACTGCCCTGTGCTTCTCGTGTTGGCCTGAATGCCTTGTCATGCGACTCCCACATGTCTTGCCAGCTGATTCCGCGTACGATGTCTGCTATAGCCCTTTTCAAGGCTTCTGCATGGATTTGTCTTGACATAGTTGTTTCGCTTTCCTTCTGCTCCTCTTTCTTTTCAGTTTAACTTCCCAGGTTCCCAGGTTTGCACACCTTATCCGGATTCCCAGACTCCCAGTTTGGCCGCTTGTCAGATTACCAGATTTTTGCTCCCCTTAACTGCCAAGATTCACTGATTCCCGGATTCGCTTACCTTAGCTTCCCACATGCCCCCACATTCCCATTTTGCTCACCTTGGCTTGCCACAGAGGCTTCTTACAAGATTTCTCAAAGGAGGATTTCTAGGGGTGTGGCCTTTCGATATAAACTTCTACTTGAAGCTGAATATGAAGTGGAGGCACGAGGCTCAGAAGAAAGACATCTTTGCGCTTTGTCCTCTTGCTCTTCCATTCGACGTAAATATGAGCGAAGCCCAGATGATACCTTTGGAGGGTGCAGTAGGGTGTGGCCCGTTTTACATATGATATTCAAATTCGGGGTAACTACGACTGAAGCCCAGATGAGGATTTCTTCGGGTGTGGTCTTGTAATACATCCCGTTCGAGTTACAACTGAATTGGATTCCGACGAAACCCAGAGGTTACTTTTTCAGGGTCTGGGACCTCTGTTGGCCTCATTTGTGTTCACACAAACAACGAATGAGGCCCAGAGCCTCTCTCGCAGACCTGCCGCGGTAGATCGTGGGGCCAGTGAAGAGGCATCATATCTACACGTATATAGATAGACATCCGCACATAGAACATGTTATATGCGCTCCACCCAAAAACAAGGAAGACATGGAAGCTGCGTACAAAGTTGCACAAAGCCGTGCGTGTGACAAGCAGGTGAGGTCGCTTAGCGCTGCGCGGAACTGGCTGGTGCCCTGTCGGACGCGCCTGCGTCGCTATAGATCAGCAGGCAGCACTCCGGCAACTGAGCAGCGGAGAAGCTAAGCACGTTCAGGCGCACACCCGAGGAGAAGGTTCAGCAGGTAACTCTTTCCTGTACCTCGAGCCCAGCCGGGGGGCATTGGCTGCAGAGTTCAGTCGCTCTCTCGGGCGCGGACGGTAGGGACCGCAAACCTCATCTTGCAGAAGCCCAAGCAGAGCGCCCAGCAAAAAGCAGCTGGGAGCCCTTGAGCTCGAACGCACCAGGGCGCCGGCTGTACATACGGAAATTTGCTCCCGGCCACGGGCCTCTAGCACCTGGATGTCCAGTCTTCAGCTTGGGGCGGGGCGGGGGACCGGGGCTTTCATGGCTTAGTCGGCCTTATGCTTCAGGTGCTGGGCTTCCCACGAAGCCCGCTTCGGCAGTTGTCAAGGTTGGATGATCCGTTGGATGCGGTGCAGAGTTCAGGGCGTTTATGGTCCGGTTGCACGGCGATACGTTTAACCGTTTAACCCTCAATCCAACACCTCCGCTCCCCCAACGACCGCCTTCACCGCTTCGGGGCAAAGTTCGAAATGCCAAGAGGTCCCATGACCTGGACGAAGGCAGGTTTGGGCCCGGGGTTTCCTCCAGGGCGGCATCGCAGCATGTCAGGATAAAGCTTTGCGTACGGGCATGGCTTGGGGATGGAGGTCATCCTAGCTCGAAGTTGCACAGAACCCGACTCCCAGCACTGATTGCCCGCGCTGAACACTAAAGTCGGTCAACAAGGTCCGGGCGGGAGACTTTGATAAGCTGGATGGGTCCATCCTGTCAGGCGCATACCATGGGCCCATGAAGGGCCACCGAGGGCTTCAGCAACAGTCTGAGCCTGCTGAGGCTGTAGGTGTTCGACAGGACATGTGCTGCTGTGGGATGTTCCAAACTCCTGGCTTCTGCAAATCGCGGCACTCGCAGCTCCCGCTACCTACTGCAACCTGCAGCCATCACAACGACACGAGTCGCTCACGCAATGCTCCTGCTGGGCTTAAGGACTTGAATTTTGCATCATCTTTGAAAAAGGCGACGAAGCGTGCTGCTTCCAGATTGGCTTTTTGGGTAGAACTCCGGCCAGCGCAACCAGAACTCTTCGCCCATTTAGGAGTCGGGTCCTCGTCGGCTTCGCCGTCGCCCACTGGTGTCTCAACTTTGGCACTGTCTACCTCGCTGAACTCAGATGACTATGGACTCTAAATTCTACTTCTTTAGATATAGCACCACGTCTGATCTGTTGCACCTTCACGCGGTTTAGGACGCAACCCCACCATGAGCCTTCCTAGCCTTCCGGTTCAGATAGTTAAAGGCGCAGCCCACCCTGAACATGCCTCCCAAGACTCACCCCCAAAGCGGGGGGTGGAGGAGGTGCTACGAGTACATTGCTGATCAGGAATCGATTCAAGCAGCGTGCTCATCCAGCCCCGCCTCCCCTAACTCTGGGCTCGGCGGGCAGGTGCTGCCAGCAGGAAGGCGGATCCTGGAAGAGGGCTGTGAGAAGCAGCTGCCAATTATTTTGGGACTTCGCAAGGAGCGAAACCTGCTTGGATCAACATGGAGCTTGCAATCCAGGTCGTACGTACCTCGACAGTGCAGCATGTCAAATTTCATGATGCCGCTCGCCTTCATGAGGGTTTGTTTTGCGTGTGTTCCCCTTCTGGTTGCTTAGTTCCGCCCATACTAAATGTGGTACAGCTTTCCTGAGAGAAGGGCCAGCCATGGCATTGTACATCTTCACTTTTGCTGGTATCCACACACCTGGTTCAGAACCACCACAAGGCTGCAGCGCGAGCGTTACAAAGTTGTTAGGTGAGTCGCAGACTGGTCGATTACACATATACTACAACAATAGAACTTCTAAGCAGGCATGCCAAAAGGAACGCATCAAGGGGTGCTGATCATACTGACGTGCGCGCTGTCCAGCTGGCACTGAGTTTCAGACCCCGAGTGTCGCTCAAGTACTCTACGTTTGCACCAACCTACAAGATGCTCAGCATAGTCTGAGGTCGCATGACCAGTGGAGACCGTTTGGACATGGAGGTGTGGGCATCTTGCTCGCATGCTGTGCGGCTGCCACGACAGACGTCAAGGCTATGCGCACATGCCCGGTTTGTACCCATAAGCAGTCATAAACTCATAAACAGGACAAGTCCAGAAACTGCACTAAAGAGGAGCAGCACATATGTAGCCCCACTGCGGAAACACGAACCTCGAACTCGGGCTTCGTGAAGGTTGCTGGCCGAACTTTTGTCGGTGGCACCTCAGGACTCAGAACACCCTGCGGACAAATTCTGCAAGTGCTCAAAGCTTCTTAAATCAGGAAAGCGATGGAGAGAACACACGATGAGGGTCTATGATATTCATTGTGCGCGAGCCGCACCTCTCAAGCTGCCAGCTGAGCTCCCAGCGTCTTGCTTGCAGTCAAGGTCATACAACCCATCACGATATGCCAGAATCTGCCGTCAATGCAGGAAAGAAAACATGGCGGCTGTAGTTCTGAATGCTCCTTGTGTCCTATACTGGCAACCACAGGACCCTTCATGAGTTGACTGGGAGCTTTTTCAGCAGGGAGGGCCGTGAGGTGAGGCAGGACGGCTGTGTGTGGAGCGTACGTACGTACCTGCTGCCAGAACCTCTTACTTTTCAAGTGCCCCTTGTGCAGTATTGGGTAAGCTCGCCAAGCTTGACTTTGCCCAGCTTGACGCCGTGCCTTTGCAGGAATCCAGGATCCTGCAGATGCACTGTAGTACTCGACGTATTCACCCACCTGCCGACACAATGGGCTTGCTGCCATCTTCAGCCATTCGGCCAAACGGCCATCGTTCAGCATTCAACCGTCTGGGGGTCTAGCAGCAAAGCGCGTATCCTGCACCATGCACACAACAGACGGATGCTGACTTTGAAGTCAGATGACTGCCCGCACACGCAAAACACAAGCTAGAAGGACTACGTGGGGCTGTCCGAAGATCATTTGGAGGCATCGATACAGCAAGAATCAGCAAGAGCAACGCAGGGAGCGTTCGGATCCTTCTCCGTGCTCTTGGTGGTTTCCTCTGTCTCTACAATCCCGAGCAGGCCTCGACCGCTTAAGCAGTGGGAGGACTGCCGGAAAGGGAACGCTGAGCCAGGAGCTTCCCAGACTTGGTATGGTCCCCAACCTCAGAGGAGGCCCGACTTTAGGGAAGGACGGACATGACGACACTGAGGTTCACGGCCATCGGGGGGTCAAGCTTCCATCTGCATGCGGCATGCACCTCGAAAGGTGCAAAGAAGGCCAGTGTTGAAGGATGCTCGAGCTCGTTGTTCCATGCACTGAGCACCTGAGCCCTTACGGTAGGGCTCGGAAGATAAGGGTCGCTACGGTACAGATTGCTCAGGCGGTGGCAGTGGCAAGTGCGTGAATTTGCACCCCGCTAGGTCCACTGGCAACAGTACTCGAGCCCTGCATCGGAAGCATGGCAGTGCTAGTGCCATCTGCAGATCAGAAAGCGGCAGGATGGCGATGCGATGGAGTGCAACTCTTGTTTGGTCACGCACAGGGCTTTCGTCTGCTGCTTCATAAGATGGTACACAAGCTACACAGTCGTGTGTGACAGCTTGCCTGTTGCAGTGATCTTGCGCGTGTTGGCGTGTTGGTACAGTGTTGGTACAGTGTTGGTGTGCTCTTGTGGCGGAAGTGCAAAGTCGCAGTAATCTGTAGCGTCTCGCAAAGTCACTGCACCGTGCGCCGATGCAAGCTTTGCGAGCTCAGCGCTTTCGCTCGCCGGGAGCCTGAGCTGACAGGGCCCAGTGGGATGCTGGTCCTAGCCTTTCCGAAGAATATCTCTGCGACCCTGCGCTCTGAACCTGAAACATTCTTGGGCATCGGCACCGCCTGGTACGGGAAGTTCAACAACCTGGCCGCAAGAAGAGTGGCTTCCGGTTCCGGTGGTGGGCGGGGGGTGGGGGTGCGGAGGAAGAAAGAAGGGGCTATATATTCTATGCCAAGCTCTGTGCGATTCCATGCTTTGGGGTCGGGTCCTGGATTGAAGCAGTCGGCGCCTCAAGAACGCGCGTGTGGACGTCGCGAGTCTCATCATTTTCAGTGACGCGTTGCACATCCTTCTCCTGTGCAAGCGTTGGCACTTCAGGCCTGGGCATGGTCCTGCGTGCCTTACATGGCGGAAGGTCCTCCTTGACACGGAACTTGGTTTGCGGAGGGAAGAGCACTTCGTTGGACCTGTCACCAAAGCCAGTCAAGCCCTCAACTCATCATCGGTTCCCACAAAAAAGGTCCCTTAACCAGCTCAGGCCCCAGCCCACCGATGAAGCGTTTGATGCTGATCGGGGCAAACACCTCCGGATCTGATAGCTTGCTGGGGTCGATGTTGCACCTCGCAAGAAATGCCCGAGGCGCTTTCAATGAAGGCTTGAAGAACCGCTAAAAGTTCTGACAGCTTCTCCCCAGCGACCTCTCAAAACCTGTGAGCTCACAAGCTTCGAAACATAAAGAGACACAGAGAGAGAGAGAGAGAGAGAGAGAGAGAGAGATGGAGACAGGGAGAGGGCCACGCTTTAGAAAGGAGATCCCAAACGAAGTCGACGGGCAACTTCCGAGCAACACCGCGGAACCGAACAAATGCGAAACACTGCGTGGTAACTTTCGCGTGCAGCGCGAGGCGAGGAGTGCCCCGAAGTGCTTGGGTATGGCGAACTCGCGGCTCGAAAGACGACTCTGTGCGGGAATCTGCAAAAAAACACGAGAACACGGCAGCCTTGAGCAAGGCCCAGAGTGTTTTGACGTGCGGTCGGAATGACTGGAATGCTGCATATTGGGGGATAAGGACCGCAGGGCGTTTGGGGATTCAGAGTTGGACGCATTTGTCCTGGGCGCGCGGCTCAATCTCGAAGTTCAGATTGCCATCAAAAGGCCACAAGCCTCCACAAAGAAAGTTTGCAGGTCTTCCCTCTCTTGCAAAATAACTACAAAAAAGGCCGGCTCGTCGGTGGGACAAGTGCATGAAATGCTGCTGCCGTCCGAGATGCAACCATCGCAAGCACGGGCACAGCTGATATTTGATAGCTGTTCCCACGAGCGACAGTAACCGCACCAACGGGACTCCGAGCACACACCGTGCAGTCGCCTCCATCCTCTAGCTGGCAGGATGTGAAGGCAGGCCACACGAACTCGGTGCCCTCCTGTTCCAAAAGCATGGCTCGACGCAAGGACAGGCGAAGCAATCAGGCGAAACATGGAGGCTCCTAAGCCTGGAGCACTGGCTTCAGACGGCTAAAGCCGAGAGAAAGAAAGCAGATGCAAAACACATCCTTGTAAAGAGCCGCCCACTTCTCGACCTCCTCCTCCGGAACCTTTGCATGTCGCTGCCCAGTTCTTGCCAACAGTCTGTTGCAAGTGCTTCTTTTGGGGCCTAGCGAGGGCTTAACTTTTGCGTTTAAGCTACGGGATTGTTGAGCATATGGCACTGTACGACGCTACCCAGCACAACTGTCAGGAGTGCACCTCCAGGCCACGCAAGCACTTCCCCATGAAAGGCTTGCACCTGAACACCGAAACACTGAGCAGGGGCATGGGGGGAAGCTCTTGCAACACAACAAGTCGAGGGGTCAGGTTTAGGGTTGGATTGCGACCGTAGAAACTCTAGAAACGAGAGTCGACGTGTGTCTCCAAACATTCTCACGAACCCTGAAGGCCGCATAGCGCCGCGCAATCGTTACCCGCGCGTCCTTGCTGAGGCCAAAGCTTGCGCCCCTCGGGCTTGCAGATCTTCGCAGTTTCAAACCGCGTAACCTGCCACTCGAGTCACTCGAGCCTTCTTCACCGGAGCCCACACGCGCAACATGGGACTTCGTGGCATGTGGTGACAAGGCATTTAGATGTTATGCATGAAACAGGCTCAGCCAGGTCCCCAGGCCCCCCGGTGCCCCCTTCCTTGCCTCGCGAATCTCCCAGATCATTGGGGCCTGTGCGAAAGGGGGATGACCTAAACTGCAGGGACCTGTCCGAACACGACCTGACACTCACTTGAGAGATCGGCTAGCCGCCGTAGGCCATCTTCGTTGTCATCACGGATGCACTGGTTGATATCCCTGAAAAGACCCGTAGCCAGCGTGTACCTTCAGGGCTGCTACTGGTATGCTGCTGCGCAGTGAAGGCGAACTCATTACAGCTGGGTGCATGGAGCAGATCTTCTGGTCCCGCTCGAAGCTTCCCACTTCTTGGAAGCATGAACATGCAGCTTCGCAACAGACTTCGGAAATCTTCGTGACAGGTCCTGAGAAGCTGGCCTCCTGGAAAGATCTGCCATTCTGGATTTGGATGGTACGGCCTGCAGCTCACACAAAAAAAGCCTGCATGTTGACATGTTGAGACAAAACGTTGAGAGCACCAGCCTTATGCATTCGGTCAGGTTCCTGAAGCCTTTCGGCTGTGGCCTGGGCAAGGCAAGCGCAAGACAGACACCCGTGTGAGGATTCGAGGGATTCGAGGGCCAAGCCCCGCATCAAAATCCTCGTTGCTGGGATCATCTGGGTGGTATTCGTGGACGCAGCGCCTGAACGCCTGCAGGGCCAGCAGCTCCGGGAAAGCTGTTGCACCATGGGGCTACAGCCAGCCGTCGGCTGCGTTAACAGGCAGGCGCCACGATGCTCTCCGCTACGAAGCGCCCCCCCCCCCCCCCCCCCCCGCCCCTCTTTTACCCGCAAGAACAAACCCAAAAAAACCAAGGGCCCACAGGCCCCCCGCAGAAAACCCTACCACCACCCCTTCTTCCGCTCCCAGCAGCCTCCGACATCTCTGCCACTAACGGCTGCACGGCCAAGCATCGTACCCTTGGTGACCTTGCAAGATCTTGCAAGCAGGATCTTGAGGTCTTCGGGGGTTAAGTGGGCGTGCCTAAAGCACCCAAAAGACTCAACAAACAAAACCGTGCTGTTCTCTGCCTCTTCCAGGGCTGTCAAGGGGTCTGAACCCTGAGAGCTGGGAGTCCCGCAGCTGCAACAGCTGAGGGCTGCGCCTGTTGCCCGGGGCCCACGGCCTGTCAATGGGGCACACGCTGGGCTTCTAAGTAACTCTTCGGGGTTGTCGAAGCGAATGGCCCTAAAGCCTAAAGTGCCTGAACCCGATTCTTCTGAGGGGCACACCGTGCCAGCCAGGCCCTTGGGGTGGCGCGGAGCCAAGCCCCCAGCGCCTGAAGCACAGACCCAGAAAGGAAGGAGACACACATAGCGATAGCGGCGGCATAGACTTCAGGGTTTGAGGATGCTCCAAGTTCGAAGCAAACCTTAGCCCCTGCACCCTGCCCATGCAAGTCGTTGCTAGGCTTCCGGCTAGGGAGGCAATTACCTCAGCTCTGTTCTGAGCTCTGTTGTGAGGTCTTTGGGTGTTTTGGTACTTCGGTCTCTTGGGTCGCGGGTTTGGATCGAGGGGCTGGAGCGGCTGGAGGGCTTCCGGAGGCAGGGCCACGACTCAATGGTAGAGTCACTTCTTGTCAAGCCTTGACCCTGGGCCTGGACCCTTTGGAAATCCTGCCTTGGCTCCAAAGCTTTAGGCCCCAGGCTAGCAAATGCCGCCCCCGAGGACCAGCTGCCACAAGCCTAGAGCAAGACCAAGTTAAGGAACCCCCAAAACAGCGAACTTGGGGTTTGGGCGTGCCAAAACTCGACCAGACTCTACCAGGACTCTACCACTCAGCCTCCGCCTTCGAAACTCCCTGCCGTTGGAGGCCATGAGGCCTGGACGGAGGAATCTTGAACTGGAGTCAGGGCTTCGGCAACTGCGTGACCTAATTACCCTTTTTCCACTCTCCTTCAGGCATCGATCAGCCCACAGCAGGATCCCTCCAAGCCCTTCTGTCCAAAACCTTCAACTGCTCTGAAGACGTGTGCCACTCTCAAGAAGAAAGTAAGCGCTGTCCACCGCGACTCTTACGCCACCACACCCGCATCTGAGGGACCCCTCACCCAAGGAGATTAAAAAATGCTCCCCGTCGAGCCCCCTTGCCACACGTATAAATGTATCAAAGAGGAAAAATGGGGAACGGATTGAGGCTTTGAGGGTTGAGACCCGACCTTCAGCCAGCGAAGGCCTTTGCCTCCCTACTTCACTCGGGCAGAGAGAGCAGCAGATGCAAGGTGAAGGCAACTGTTTCGGTAGTTCTTGGTTCTTCGTGGGGGCAGAAACAGATGCAATTTGCAGAGCCTGATCACGGTATGATGTCCTGCCGAGGGCGAAAAAAATTGTTCGGGTCTGGCGACGTCAAGCCCGCTCTCTCGACATCTTTGCAATTGACGAGGGATGTGCCGAATGTGCCGAAAACGAAACTTGGCCGAATGCCCCTCTTGGACTACAAAGAGCAGAAAGAGCATAAAGAGCCTTTTTGCGCACAGTGAAACTCCAGGCCTGCTGCGAACCAAACATGCGCCGTGAGGCCGAAGGTGAGACTTTGCGGGTCTTTGTACAAAGCTTGGTGAGACGTGGAGTGCTCTCGACTTCCATAAGTTTTACGCTGCAATTTCTGGTGCCTTGATGCGTCTGCGAGATGATGGAAATCGAGAAGTCCTCGGCCGCCCTTTATCTCAGATCCTTCTGCCGGAAGTTTGTAGTCTTGGCATACGCAAGTAGAAACAGCTGGCTCTGTCACTCCCCGACCACGGTAGCACGTGTAGAAATCTTATGACTACACTAAACACCGCACATTCTGAGTGTGCCACACTTCTCGCCTGGCCGGTTGCTACAGCAGCTTACCATGTGCAGAACTGTTTCTGCAACTGGATGTGTGCGAACACAACTGTTGTTGCAACAGCTAGCGGCACTGATGCAGCTACAATGACAAGCCATGACAAGTCCTAAGCGTCCTAACAGTCGAACACAGTTGAAGCTTCAACCCATCATTGAGCCTTCCGCGATTTGCCAGCCCAGAGCAGTGGAGACCCATAGCCCTGATCCTTAGATAGTGGTGAATCGTTGCACAATTAGAAAGTGACTTCTTTATGCGGGCGCGAAGACCCTTTCAAGCAACTGGGTGGCTAACAATGGGCAGCGTAGGAGCAGCATGAATATACAGGTAAACGGAGCTGCAGCAGCTTAAGCATCGTGCACTGCCAAACTCACCCTGAGGGCCACAGAGGAGGGGCAAGGTGTCCGGACCTGCTTCGGGCTGCTGATTGGAGTCTCACACAAGTGTGGCTGCCAGCTGCATCATCACCCTGCCTGCCAGCATCATGTCAGCATGTCCTGCCACGTGCTTGTAATCTCGTGTCTTCCGCACGTCCTACAGATTCTACGCTCACGCTAACCGAAGTTGCTGAATAATATCAAGCTAAACCCTCCAAGCCCTCAACCCTTAAACTCCCAAACCACTCGACCTGACCCCTTAACTCGATGGTAGGTTCGCTGCACTAATAGGTTCCCTGCACTGAGTCGCTTGTTGAGAGGGATGGTGCCTTTCTTTGTACGAAGCTTGAGGGCACCCTCCAAAACCAAAAAAGATGGAGCCGATACAACTTGATACAACTTGATACCATCATGATACAACTTGATACAACTTGATGTAACCCTCAAAATGTGAATCCACACACACAACACACAAACAACACACACACACACAGAGACACACACCAGTCCTCGCTCCGAACGAAGCGCAGGCATCGACGCCGCTCGGGCCTGAGATCAGCAGGCGGGTTGACTGCTTGCATCAGGGTTTCAGGGCTGTGGGACATGTTGAGATTTCGGGACGAACTCTTCTGGGTTTCATTGCTTGGTGCTTCAGGGATCCCAGCATCGTCCGACTAGCATAGCTGTAGCCACCTCTTGCTGTTCCTAGATGCTCGATGAAAAACTGGTCAGTGAAACAACTGGGGGAATCCGTCACCGAGGAATTTCCGACCACTATGGAAGGACGTCAGCTGTTTTCAACATGGTGCGAGGGTTGCAGCTTAAGATGACACAGTTACGACAATGCCATCTCGAGTTTCAAGACGGGTTAGTGCCAAGCACTGCAAAGCTTCCCTGCCAAAGGGCCAATTATGGCTAAGGGTGGGCGCCAGCAGAAGCGAAATGGTCTTTCGGAGCATCCATCCATTCATCTGACTTTTCGGGCGAAGGTTGCACACGCCGCGCACGGACACCGTGCAAACTTTACCACAACCTCGGGGCTCGCCCACACTACGCACTGTGCCGCGCACCGAGTCCATTGCTGCTGCAGGAGGAGGCCGTGGGGTGCCTTCTCGAGAGTGGGGCTGAGGATAAGGGTTACAAGCTTACATTGTGGCAGTTGCCGGGCCTTTGTTTCTTGTGAAATAGAAACTGAATACAACTCATGTACTTTTTCCTACGTTCAGACTAGCAATCTTTGCACAGAAACCTAGCTGCTAGCCAGGGGAATGAGGGCGAGTGCCCCGCACCGAATTTGAGGTTGGCTTGGTGCTGAAAACGGTGCCAGCAGCCCGCAGGCTTGGGCTTGAAAGCTAGAGGTCTGTTGATGCATCAGAGCCCCACCTTCAACAGTAGTGTTTGAATGCATGTCTTTGTCCGCCCCTGTAGCCTTGGAGGCTCAGCAGCAGGAAGCATGAGGCATGGCCACTGCACAAGGATGACACGCACAGACGATGTCAGCAACTGCACAAATCAAGAAGTGGGGTCACAGCTGAGAAGGAGCCAAGGCCTACAGCTTCGTCATTGGTGTTGCGGAGGATCTATCAAGCTGTGGGTCTATGGGAGCACGCAAACCCGCTGAGACAGACTGGGAGGTTGTTTGACAGCACAATGGGCTTCGACAAACTTGATGAGCTGGAACAGGCAATGTCCTGGACGTCCGAAGATCGACTGGATGCAAAAGGGACTATGGAGTCTCAATTGAATAGGACAGGGCTTAGTAGTGAAGGTTCAGTTCTGTGGTGGAAGGGTTTCCGTGAAGGACAAAGGAGGTTGATTCGTGTGAAAAGAGTAGGAGTGGCATTTTGAGGCGAAGATCACTCCTCAACAAGGGGGGTAACCTTGGAGTTCAAAACCTTGTCCTGAAGAAAAAAAAAAAAAAGGCGTGGACTGGTCATTTATGGCTCAGGGATCCAAGGGAAATCCATGCCACAAAGGCCAGGCGTTCAGGGTGGTTTTCCCAAGGTGATACCAAAGCACCGTGCTGCGAGTGTACCTGTAAAAGAAAGTAGTGTTCTTGCTGCCTGCCATGGTCACGTGGAGGTGAGTCACGAAATGGATCGTGATGAGGCGGAGCGTCAAGAGATGAGAAGGAAAAATATCTGCTTCTGGTACAATGCTGGTGAGAAAAGCAGGTTTGGTGATGATGATGCTGAAAAGTTTTTGGTGCAAGTATTATGTTGATGGTCGTGATTGCTTCGCTGGAAAGGACTGCCGCTACTCCCACGATGCAACTGGAGAGGTTTGCACAAAGTTCGGGATAACTGGAAAATGTCGAAGGGGAGACCCATGCGTCTTCATTCACGAAAGTGGGAAACGAGCTGACAGGCCAAGGTCGCCAACAACGCCGCCGCGAAAACGTGCTGAATCATGAGGACAAGGTGTTTCCCCTGAAAGGCAAGAAGAGGAGGTGGAAGAGGACTTTATGGTTTACGATGATGATACGCGGGCGTGCGAGTGAAGGTGCTCCAATCTTCAAGTGATTGGGGATAGCTGGAGAAAAAGAGGATTTGGATGCCGAGTGGTGCACTTGGACCGACAGACTTTTGTCATCGTTGGAGCTGCGTGAGGTGGTGAAAAGCCACGACATTGGCTTTGCTGAATTTGGTATCAAAAGGCTTGTCTGGAGGATAGTGGTGG